TTGGAGAAGCGGGAGTTCTCTCCTAAGATTGGTTCCAGGCTACATACAGAGAACCTGAATCAAGGTTCAATAAAATGTGACCTCGGAATTGGCGTCACCATCACCTCGACTCTTTCATCAACATCCGTGTCCTTCGCGTACCTTAACGGTTCCATGTCCACGCCACATTACACGCGCACTCAACATTCGTTCCCGCACCTTTCCTCGTTTCCCTCCTTTGTAGTAGTCACGTCCCTCCGTCTTAAATGCTCCATGTTTCTATCCCCTTCCCCTCATGGATGCCTTGCCATGCAACACCATGCAGGCCCTTCAAGACCCCTCCATTTTCCAAAGCCTGCAGGGCGTCCCGTGTCCACGCCTGGCATTGATACAGTTTCTCTCGAGGGAGCAGCCGTCTCGCCCCGTCAAACTGTTTCTTCGGCGGGGGCAAGGCAGCGCAGATGCGGTCGAGGCAGTTGAAATTGCCATACTCGATCGTTCCCAGCAGTGTCTTTCCGAGAAAGGAGTCTTCGTCCCGGGCATCACGAAACTCGTACGTCATGCTCTGGGCAACACTTCCCTGACCTGGTACAGGAAGGCCCGCAGGCCGGTATTAGGCGCGGGAGAATGGAGCGCCGCGTGTTCAACGAGGATGGCGTGGTGGTCTCCCTTACCTCCCCCGAGTGACTCGGCGAGGTAGACGTTGTATGACACCATGGTGTGGCTGCTTTTCCTGAGCTGAAATGAATTATCACCTGCTTGGTTGAAAGTGAACAACCCCGATGCGTGGGTTGCGGATCTTTGCGAGGCGGGATTTGAAGAGTGTTGCTGTTGTAGACGACGAAAGGCACTGGCGTGGTGCAAGCAAAAAAGGGGAACTAAGTTTAACATATGAAGATGGACAACTCTGCTGCCTGCCTGGCTCCCAGTGATGTTAGGGCGTGGCACTTCTAAAAGCCTGATCAGTTAAACTTTCCACTCCGCGTTATCCTCGAACAAACTGTGGTCGGGTGGAACACAACACAAAGCACCTGTGGGGTTGACATTATGATCCCGTGAGGAGGAAAAAGTGAGATCAATTCTCAGTCACATCAATGTGATCGAAATGTCCAACTCTCAATTTCCGTCCTCGAATGATCCCCCACCAACAGGATTGAAGTGCTCGCAAGTTGACTTCCGACTCCTGTGCCGAAGCTGGGATCCTAATTAACACGGTAAGTTGTTACACATCATCTGCTTCCATTCACCCCTTCGCCCATCAGGTTCTATAACCTCACATCCGCCTGGTCTCATTTTTCGTCTTATGAAATCTCCATTAACCCCTTTGAAACTGGCCTCCTTAATATCAAACCTCCAGCTTCGGGCTTGAACTCAAACAGCACTGGCCAAGATCACATCAGCCACATAAACGGGACGAGGAGGCACGCCAAAGGGTTGAGACCGCCGGACAGGAATATATTAAACCTTGGGAGATGAAATTGATTGCACATCACTTGCCCGACCTGACGCCTAATTATACGAGAACTATGCGCTGCCAAATAATAACTTCGATTCACTGCCCGGTCATAGTCCGCGTATCCAACTCTAGCGGTTGAGCCGTCCCCTCGGACGGCATGTTTGATCCCAGCAATCCCGCCATCATTCTACACCTTCTGTAGTGGAGGGAAGCTGACCATCTTATTCTCAGTATTGTCCTGTTCGCTCGCGGCGCAGATATGGTTACCTAGCGGGGAATGGGCGTCGTCCGGTCCTGAGTGTCACGTCAAGGCGGGAGACACGGCGCACGGTAGGCGGGTTGTGGGAGGTGCAGGGCAGGCGGGTTGGTAGATGGGAAGCTGCTGCCGCAGACCGGAGCGCGGGTTCATGTGCATCCGCCATGGTGGTAGCGATGCCCTGCTGTTGTACGCCCTTGGGTATGGACTGAAGTGCTGAAGTCTGCCCGACGCCCTCACATTGATTGGTGAGAGTTTCTGCCGGAGGCTTTTCTGCAACATGCTCAGGCTGCGTTGCGATTTGTTGCATACCGGGTGGTGAGTGGAGCTGGAGTGAGGTGCCGACGAACGGTGAACGGGGATCGGGGTTCTTGTAGCACACGCTGTCAATACGGGTAGAGTAGCCAGCCAAGTCGTGGGCATGGGTTAAAGAAACATCCCCCGGGCTCCGTGACCATAGATCTGACCGCGGCGCCTACCGCGGCTCCAGAATGGTGTTGGTTTTGAGGGTAGGCCTAAAACCACAGATCAGCCGGCACTGCACATACTGTTGTTGGATACTTTGAATAGAAGTACCGGCCAACAATCAGTCTGCGAGATGCACAGTGTCGTCCTCCCATTGCTCTATCCCCTTCTGGCCATGGACCAACCTCTCCATATTCATCCTGACGCTGACCCGGACGTATGGTGTCATCTCTTTATCCTTGTTGACGAACCCTCCCCCGGGCGCCATGATATCCGAGGCGGCCCCTTTTCCGTAGTGGTGGCTGAACAACGGCGGCTGCACCGTTACGCAAATCGGAGCCCTCCTCTTTTCGTCGTCTCCATCGTCGCCGGCCGTGTCCGAGCTGAGGGGGCTGTACATATCGTCACACCAATCCCGCAACATAAGGTCCCATCCCATCGTCAGGGTTTGGAGCCCAAACTGCCAAAGTAACTTCCTTGCTCCCTGTTGACTGACGGCATACGCCTGTGTGCATACTGTACCGCGTGAGGGGTGTACGACCCTCGTATGCGGGGGATAGTCCTCTGCGAGAGCGTCTTGCAAGGCGAAGGGGTGCGGTTTGAGATGGTTCGGGGATGGAACAGTCATGTCGTCTGGGATCGTCACCCTTAGGGCTGCCGTGCCCGGGAAGTCGGTCCCGCAGTGGCCGAGCCACAAGACGTCCCAATCGTCGCCGTAAGGCGTAAGGCGGGGACGAGTTCCCAACGGTAGCTGTGTGATTGCGAGCTCTGGGTCGGCGTGAGTGCTGTACTGCTCTGCGAGAGACTGCCCATTTGACGGCTGCGTGAAAGCCCTCGACGCTTGCGCGAAGACCTGCATTTGTCTCTTCAAGCGCAAATCCCAATCGGCATCGTCCTCGAGGATGAGGGCACTAGTCACGTTCTCATGGACAATCCTGCGCAGCAGTTAGATAACAACTGGGCGGAAATCAAGAATCACCGAGCCCACCTCTGTAAAACGTCCATATGCGCCCTCCACGACCCTTTGTTTCCCGTTGTAAACCCTCCATTGCCCTGTCGACTATTTGGGTCCCCCGGTAGCGTCTTGTCGAGCACGTCCTTTCCCAAAACCCCGTCAACCCAAGTGATGTCGAGCTCGGACAAGGCGCCGGCCAGCGCCAAGGCGTCGCGGCGATCGGTTCGCGAGGGGAGGTTGATGGCGAAAATGTGCTGAAACTAAAAGTGCTGCCATTTAGTATGTCGTTCCAGGACGGCCTCACTGCTTACGGTGAGAGCAACTTACCCCGAGAGTGCTGTTGAGAATCTCCGGAGACGGTGTGTTTATCGCTATTATCGGCCACTGCGGCGTGCGGAACCACAGGAAGAGGGTGATGCCCACGGCAAGGGAGGCGGCCAGAATCCGGTGCCGGGAAAACATTTCGGTTTTCACACCAGTCGAAGGTTGGAATCGAGGGCGGGGTGCAAGATGTGGAAGGTGTGCAGAGGCACGGGAGGAAAGCCACGACTTGGAGGCAGATGCACCTTCCCGAACCTAGGTTGCTCCAGCGGGTTTCCAGTTCAATTGAATGTTTAAAGGCAGAAGGGACGACATGGGCCCTTGAATCCCCAACACCATCATCATGTCCATCAAGACTCGGATCAGCTGGTAAATTGCGGGTAAAGGCAGGTCGTGCCGATCAATTGCTTCCTTCTTCTTACTGGAAAGGCACTACATATTAACTTATGGCAATCTGAAACGGCTTCCAAGTTGGGGGATTTACACTGGGCGGGATGGGGCTTTATGATTGGGCCCTTTCGACATGGCCGGGAGGGAGCAACACGGAGGAACAAACTCGAAGTCCTGCCAGTTGGGGAAACTTGCTGTAACATCCCCGATCTTGGCCAGGACTGAACCATGCCCATTTCTCCTCCTCCTTGGGTAGCCAAGCCGGGTACACAGTGAAGCCCAAACAACCATCGCTTCCATTAGGTAAGTACATGTACCTAAGGGAGGTAGGTCGTTATTATTCGGGAAGTATACTGGCGGTCTTTATACTACCTATCTTTAAGTTTCTTGCCGCAGGGTTTTGATTTCGAAACTACCTATCTAGGTACCTACCAACCTTACCAAGGTCACTTTCAAACCGAGAGTCATCGTACACCTTTTCGCAGCAGCGGAGCTTTTGTATTATTTTTCTAGTTTAGCTTTAACAACCTGGAACATACGGACGGGGTCAGGGGCACGAACATTTGATCAGGGAAGCCTTTGGCATCCGTATCGATTTTCGCCGAGAAGTAGTAATTAACTATGTTTAACGGGTTTTTGGTTTGACCAGATGCATCTAGGCCATTTCGTCAACTACCTGTGTACTCGGCGCGATTAACGTGGAGGATCGGGAACCAACTGGTGCGGCTCCCGCATCATCCGCTTCCTGGCCCTTCCGTGGAAGTCCACTTTCCCTTCATCGTCCAACACCAAGTATGCCACAATCGCTACGTCAACCTTCCTCGTCGGTATCCCTTTCTCCTGGTCCTTGCGGAGCTGTCTTTCCAAAACCACCCTCAACTACGCCACATACTCCAGCACCGTGGTCAGACTTGGTGGTTGCTGATACTTGGCCTTCCGGCGCGTACCCCCTGCTATTACAGTATCCCGCTCCTGTTCCGAGCTATAACCTCCATACGGCAACGACTCGCCCCAGTCGCCCACCATCTGGCCTGACTCGGCCTTCCAGTCAGGCGTACCTGGAGGCTCAGAAACCCAGGTGCCGTCCGTCGGGTCCACCACTTCCACGAACAGCGAGTCGGGGCTACCCGTCAGCCACCTACGGCCCTGGGCGGGCAACTCGGTGATGTCGGGCCGCAGCGTCAGCTCGTGGTCAATGACGTGCAAACACACGAGGTCGGGGAAGCAGCGGTACAAGTTGGAGGGAACGTCGTCCCAGATATTGATCCATTTGGACTGTCAATGGCCACCGTGCACGGGCGTAGCCTTGCCAAACGCTGAAAAGCGAATTTGCTCTCGGCCGAGGGGGCTTGGAAGGCTGGAAGGGTCCGCAGTGGTATTGCCATTTGTGACAAACGGGGGTGGAGGTGGTGACCGTATACCGGAGGTTGTTGGCAGCTCGACAAATTGGAACGGGAGACGGGAGCCGTCATTGCTCCATCGAGCCCAAGACGGGCAAGGGATTGTTTCAACGGCGAGGAAATCGCGGGAATTGTTGTACCAGCCAAAGCGGTCCTCGCGGTCAATGTCGTCGGAGCAAATGGAGACAGTGTCATCCTCGTCGTCCTCACTTCCTGTGTGCACGGCCGGGCGGGGAAAGCGGATGGCGTAAATATCGTAGTTAGCGTTCTTTGATGCAGTCACTTTGCACTTGACGCAGCATGGCCAACATGCGTTCCTGTAAAAGCCCCTCGCGGATGGTAGCCTCTTCGCCAGGCTCGCTGCTGAGCTTCATTTTCTCCTTAACCTTGGTACATATTCTACACGCCGCCTTAACACCTCGTCGGTTACGGGCTTACCGATCCCGAAGACGCTGTTCAGTCCAGGAACTCAGATAGGACGTGTGCCACGTGAGCTTCTCGCAGCCGGCACAAAGACGACTCTTGGTGTCAAATCCGCCAAAAGGGAGCATGATATGCTGGATATTCTTGGTTTGGTCGGTGATGGATGCCAGGGTTCTTGAACTCTCCAAGGAATCTGCGATCATGCGCCAATCATTCGGGCGGTCCATCACATTGAACAAGTATACGAGATCCTCGTCTGCGGTGAAAAGCAACGGGGTAGTTGGCCGGCTATGGGTCAGGTCACCGTAAATTTGCGCCGATTGCTGCTTTATTGGGCTCTCGACCGCACTCTCGACTGCGTCGTAGGCCACCCGGTTGATCTGTTTCAATAAAGGTTTGTTGGTGAAAGAGCAGGGCGTCGGATTCCCCGTAAATATTATTATTCATACTCCGCTATGCCCTAGGGCGTGCCGGACCCTCAGCTATTTAGTGTACAGGAAAACCGTGCCCTCCCGGGCCGGGTGAAAAGCCCATACCAACAATCAAGGAACGATGCGTTCTGGTGAGTCTGCGTATACAAAGAGAGGAGGCCTCCCTGGCCTCCGAACGGGGGCGCTTCGGGCCGCCGCTTCCAGCTCGAGCCTCCTGGCTAAGTTGTACATCGGCAGCTTCCCCGAGTCCATCAGCCAGTCGAGGACTCTCCTCGCGAGCCATGCAATCGTGGGATTGATGCCGTGTAGAACAGAGTAAAAGTCCTGTCGTGTCCGAATTCCAGTTCTCTCCCATCTTCGAGTCAATGGTGGGGCCAAACACCACACTACCAGGTGTTCGGCAGTCTCTCGTCCCTCGCCACACTCGCAGGCAGGAGTCAGAACCTCGGGGACTCCCCGTGTAAACAAGAAGTCCCGTAAACCTATTGCTCCCGTCCGGATTTGAATCAGCAGTGAGCTCTTTGCCTTGCTGAGACCGTCGTGCCTCCTTAGGGTTTCGTTTCCCGGAATAGCGTCTCCTGCTGATGGTCAAAGTCGTCCGCCGGCCTGGTGATTGCCCTGCCGTCCCGTTCCTTTAACCGCCTCGCCCTCCAGGCCTCTTCTACTACGTTGTTCGTATCTACGGTCCCCCCCGTCCAGCGCGCGATTGTTCTCGCGGCTTCCTCCACCGCCGTGGGCTCCCACAGTCCCACAGTTCGCGGTCGGCCGCTGTTACCGCTCTTAGAGCGTAGTCTCTGCTGTATCCTTTGACAGGTGGTAAGAATAACGCTCCCTGCGGTCTTCTTGCCGCCTTGACCGTCGTCTAGGTCGGTTCGCTGGAGTCTGGTCTCAAAGTCCGCAAGCGGTTTGTTGAGATATAGGTCCAACGGCGGCACCCACGTCTCCGTCTCGAGGTTGCGGATGGGAGTGTGCTTGAAGGCTCCCGCTACCATCCGCAAGCTTTTGTTCTGGGCCTTGCCGAGGGCCTTGGTGATGCCTTTCTTTACCGGCTCGCCTCCCACATCCGTGGGGATGTGGAACGACGATGCGCCATAGGCCAGCGCTGACCGGATGCACTTTGTGTACACTTCTCGCGCTTTGGCTAGCCCCAGTCCCCATGTCGACGCCGCTAGCCTCGACAGGGCATAGCTCTGGGTCCTCAGCTTCCTCTCCACCGCTGCAAGGTGGGCTTTCCAGTTGAGCTTCCGGTCCAGCCAGACTCCCAGGAACCTGGTAGATTCCTTCGGTCTGACGGGGCTGGTGCCTCTCCCTGGGCTGGTGAGTTCCAGCTGGTTTGACCACTGCCGTCGCCCCTTGTTGAAATGGATCAGTTCGCTCTTTTCCGGGGCGAACTTCATCCCCCGACTGTCCGCCCATCGTATACACGTTCCCCACGCCGCCTCTAGTTGTCGGACATTCGCTTCGGGGTTTCGACCAAATACCAGGAGGTTGGCGTCAGCGCTGCTCAAAGATCAGATTGTAGATCAGATCTATCAATCCAGAGCAGTCCAGTCGATTCAGATCGGCCATTTCTTCAGATCAGTCGGATCAGATGAGCACCTTACAAATCTGATAATCTGATTGTTATCTATACCATACTTTTGGCCCTTGGTCAAGGCACCGAATCCCTTCATTTTGAGTGTTAATTATAGAGAGGTGGATGAATGTGTCGGGTATTACTTTTTCCGGGCCAGAACAAGCCCTGTCTAGCGCTAAATTGCGGATTCCGCGCGTCGCTCTGTCCACTGTTTGTACGCGCGCGCGTGTGTGTGACGACCACTGAGGCTGATCCGATTCGCCAGTTAAAGTTAACCCAACCTCGCAATGTCGACTGCTGCACAGAGCAGCTACGCAGCCTCTACTGCAGACAATGCCAACAACGTTGCAGCAGTCTTCCTCCCCCGCCCTCGATCTCGACTGCGCACCATCGCGAAGCAGTACGACGAAGCTGCGCAGCAAACCGTCACACATACCGACGAGCCATACAAGATCGTTTGGGGGAGCCGAACTTTCGTCATTAGCGGTGTTCTAAACAAGAAGAAGAGCCGTGGCCGTCGTTCCTGGATTACTCGTGAGGGTTGGTTCCTAACGGAGCTGACGACAACAGGAAAGGTCAAGCAGGATGTCTGGTGCTGTCGACGCTGCGATGCCTACGGCAAGCCCCAGTTTTTCAGCGCTCAATCAACCTCGGCCTCGCAGGGACACCTTCTAAGGCTAGCATAGCCCTTGCCGTTGTTCTAATCACGTTGCTAACGGTTACAGGTCCCACAACATCGCCGAGGACAGCCCCAGCCGGCCAGACAACGAGATGACCGTCCTTGACATCCAGCGAGAGGCTAGCAACCGATCGACCCCTTCCAGCATTCCACAAGCGAAGATCAGTCGGGCCCGGGAGCTTCTAGTAGGCTATATTGTCGACGGCGACTTGCCCTTTACTGCTCTTGAGAGCGTCTACATCAAGGAGCTCTTAAAGCAGCTAGACCCTGGATTCGCCCAAGAGCTCCCTCACAGTAGATCGACAATTGGAAGGGATATCAAGGAGGTTTTTGAGTCGAAGATGATGGCGGTCAAGGCTGACCTGACGAAAGCCCTCAGTCAGATTCATATTAGCTTCGACCTTTGGACCTCTCCAAACAACCTAGCCATGATTTCAGTCTTTGGGCACTTCATCAATCAGAAGAAAATGCCCCAGAGCAGGTTGCTAGCCTTCCGTCGGCAGCTAGGGAAGCATTCTGGGAATTACATCGCGCTCACGATCCAGGATATTCTCAAGGCTTGGGGAATTGGGAAGCAGGTGGGTGTCTGCGTCGCCGACAATGCAGGGAACAACGACACATGCCTCAAGGCCCTATATCGATCCCTCGATCCCACCATAACCGACCGAGATATCAAGGCGCGTCGAATGCGATGCTTCGGTCATGTCCTCAATCTTGTTGTTCAGGCTTTCCTTTTTGGCCAGGATGCTACCTGCTTCGAGAGGTGCACTGCTTATAGCCCTTTCCCTTTGGAGTGACGACGAGGCTGAACTAGCACATTGGAGAGCAAAGGGACCTGTTGGAAAGCTTCACAATATCGTCAAGTTCATCAGGGCGTCGCCGCAACGATCCGAGGCATTCCGACAGCATGCTAAGGAAGCCCAGACCTCTGACGACTATCTGTTGTCAGAGGAGCCGACCTGGGACCTTGGCCTCAAGCAGGACAACAGCACGCGCTGGAACTCAACTTACCTGATGATCGAGAGGGCTGTCAGGAAGAGGGATGATATCAACAGCTTTATCTTGGAGCTTGATCTTGAATCTGATGGTGACAAGCGGATCCCTGATGCTGACAAACTAACCACCGACGACTGGAAGGCCCTGATCGAGATCAAGACGATCTTAGAACCACTCTACAAACTGACGATAAAGACCCAGGGATGGGGGCAGTCTGGAACAAGTGGTCGACTTTCAGATGTTCTAATGGGGATGGAATATGTATTGGGAACATCTTGAAGGTTACAAGACTCTATACGAACAAGGATTCCGGTCTTGAAGCTGCTCGAGCAGCTGAAGCTTCGGCGGATCTAGCGCGTAATCAACCAACCAGTCTATCGCAGCTTCGATCGACGCGGCGGCTGCGCTTCAACGAAGGGGCCCTGCCTTCTCATGCCCGCGACGAGTACGTCACGATGCCCGACAGCGACGGTCTGCTTAGACTCCAAGCTAGAGAGCGGGCCAGCATTCGGGCCAGTATCAACAATGCCTGGAAGAAACTTGACGAGTACTACACGAAGCTTGCGGATTCCCCTTTGTTCACTGCAGCTATCATTCTGAATCCAAATCTCGGCCTTCGGTGGCTGCGGCGTCGGTGGAGGGATCCCGAACAACATGAGTGGCTCGTTGCTGCGAAAGATGGTCTCAAGGAATACTTTGACCGCTGGTATTGCAGCTCTGATGATCCCCCGCCTCAGGGTCGATCTGTCTGTCGAGATTTAGGCCGGGAGGACGATGCTTACGAGGCCTTCGTCAACAGCAGAGTCAGTTCCGATGAAGATGGTAACGAGGACGAGATTGACCGGTACTACAACATGAAGGTCGGGGGCAACGTCGATCCGGTTGAATGGTGGATCAGTAATAAGGCTCAGTTCCCAAAGCTGTCTCAGATGGCCCTTGACATTCTCGCTATTCCAGCCATGGCAGCTGACTGCGAGAGGTCCTTCAGCATTGCTAGGCTTACTCTGAGCTCCCAGAGGCATGCAATGAAGTGGGAGACTATCGAGATGCTTCAGATGCTGAAGAACTGGCTTAGGAACGGCGATATCGTCATCGGAGGAGTCATGAAGGGCAGCAGGCCGGATTGGGGATCGATTAAGGGGCAGCAGGGTTACGAATAGCTGCATTTGTATGTCAGTTCAGTCCAGTTCAATCCAGTCCAGTCCAGTCCAAGGGTCGAGGGAATCAATCCGATCAGATCAGGAGGGTCTGTCTGATCTGACTGATCTGAGAGCAGCGCTGGTTGGCGTCATTCGCAAACCCCGCTATAGACAAGTGAGGGTGCTCGTCTTTTAGCTGCTTGTATCATGAGGAAATATAGAGGATGAAGAGAACAGGAGAAAGCGGTGAGCCTTGGGGGACCCCTGCCCGAATCGCCGTCGGTGCCGCCGTCTTGCCGTCAAAGAGGAGGGTGGCTTCTCGGCCCGTCAACCAGTCTTTTGTCCAGAGAACGAACCACCTCGGGTAGCCCATTTCTCGCAGTGTTGCCAGTAGTCGTATGTGGTTAACCGTGTCGAAGGCTCCTGAAATGTCCAGTTGCAATAGGGATGCCGCGGCCTTCTGTCTCCATGCTGAGCCACGTTACGACTTCAGCAGTTGAATCATCCCATTCTTCCATCAAGAAATACCTGGTCACATCCAGGGGTGACCTCAAGAGCGTCTTCGAGCGCCTCGTGCTGTTCTAGAAGAACCAACACAGCATCCTTGACCACGACACTTCCTGGAACACCAACAAGGTCCCTACTCCCTGTCATGGCGTCATCTACAGCTACATCCGGGGCCAGATTTCAACTTACGCGTTGCATTTGCTTGCTACTGAAGTGGCAAAGCTACCCGCGAAAGACGCACCGGGTGGGGAAGGCGATATTTGCACATGTTCGCTGCCGGCTATCCATGGGCTTCCCTGCCGCCACACTCTCTATAAGCATCTTACCGGTGATGGCCCCGTTGAGCTGAAGCAAATCCACAAACATTGGTGGAGTTATCGGCCTGTGACCGACGGAGAGGAGCAGCAGATCGTCAACGTCGTGCCAAATATTCCCGTTGAGCCCGTCAAGGTCAAGGGTAAAGGCAGACCTGCTGGGACCATCGCCTCGGTCCCTGCTTCGAAGAAGAAGGGTGAGGGAATCACTGGTACCAAGCGGCTGCCTTCGGCGTTCGAATATGAGCTCGAGACTGAACCAGCTACGGCTGTTCCCCCGTCAACTGCTCCTCCCATAATGAAGGGAGCATCGGCGGGCAAGCCACGCGGCCGCCCTCGCAAACAAAGCCGCAGCTACAAGTTCAGCGGCAAACTCAGGAAGCTGACTGCATTGTGGTAGCAGTTACATCAGAGACGGAGGCAGCCACATCAACTCCTGCAGTCACAACTACAAAGCTGGGGTTACTGCGGCTGCAGGAAGTTGAAGAAGATCTATACGAGCCTGGAGCGGCACCGCCGCGAGCGTATCAGCGCATCATTGATGCCCTCGATTCTGTTGATCCCGAGGTCGAGGATACACATGATGCGTTGCTTGCTGACGGAGAGGCTGATGCTCGGCTGGCTCGTGAGGATGCTGCAGCTCTTGAGGAAGACGACGAAGGCGAGGAAGAAGACACTACTATAGAGGATCGAGGTCACCCAAGAGTATCCTTCCCATGTAAACAGGATTGTTGGAACAACGTCAATTGACATGATGATTTTGCTGTGCCATTGGGGCAATCTCGGAACTTTTGGCGCTGTTAGCCCTGCTTTACGTGAATTACATACGTTACGCGAGCTGACGGTCCGTCACTGGTAAAAGAAAAACGATTAGTTAGTTATCCCGATTAGGTATAGCTGGGTGCTTGATAGTATTTCGTGGGTGCTTGGGAGCCCTTCCCTATATCTTACTTGCGCCGTTGAAACACCCAGTGGCAAGGGCTTAAATGAAGCCACCTGTGCCGCCGGGGGGAGGGGACGGGGGGCGGTCAATGCAAGAAAACACACATTCTCATTCCCCCGCCTCCCATGATTAGGCCCCGCGTATGAGTTTGTACATAGGTACCTACCTACGTTTCCGGTCCCCGATTCATGACGCCATCGGGGAAACGGCGGGGCCCTCGAGTTGTTGTCGTTTTAAGATGGTGATGTTTGTCGTGTTTCGAGAACAAGTTGCTAGAAAAAGCTGAGACAAATCGGCCAGCGGTTGACATTGGCAGAGTTGGGATGGAGAGGAATCGGGTGCTTCAATGTAAAACAACAACTGTGAAACGGGAGGTGTTCCAGCGCGGCTCAACCCGGGCAACAAGGTGCCGCGCGTCTCACGTTCCGCAGGGGGAACGGGATAAGCTGCCGTTGAAATTCGATGTTTCGACACAAAGCTTGTGTTAACCAGTAACGACCACGTTGTGCTGAATTGGTTGGTTGGTTTGAGGGAGAGACGGGGATTGCGAGAAAGGCGATGATGGGATCATGTGGTTGTTGATCCACTTTGGTATCTGCATGGAAAGTAAGGTAACAAACCTGCAGAAAACGTAGATCTAGTTCTTCAGTCTACGTACCGAAAATAAACCGCCGATCGTAGAGAGTGTATGAATACTTTACTTATCGCGCCTCTCGGTATTGAAGCCTACGTGAATAGGTAGCCACATAAAAGTGTTGAGGCATGTTAAGCAGCATGTACATACATTCGGTTACTCAGGTTGTTATCGCTGCAGCTCAGCATGCAAGGCACCATCCACACCTTCCACCATCTTGCAGCACATCGCCGATTTAGGAAAGTCCAGATCACTGGACGCCGAGTTTAAAATTCATGTGCCGTCTTTTTCAGCCATGCACCCAGTCCATTCCTCACTTAGGTCCTTTCCAGTTGCTACAACGAGTGCTGTTTTTAAGCATATTCTTGCGAGATATTTTACCTTTCTTTTCTTTTTTTTTTTTCTTTTTTTTTTTTTTTTGTTTTATCATGGTCCTCAACTTTGTCCCCGGATTTTAAGCTGGCGCCGAGGAAAATGGCAACGAGTGGAGTCAGGGAACTGCACCTCGCCGAATCGCCCCAAGTCATGATTGCGGGGCCAAACCTTGAAGAAACTTAACCGGGGATTCTGCACGCAATTGCCACGGTCCCGTTCCTCCTTAGCCATGAGCCTAATAAGCACACCAACTAAGGTACCTAGCTAGGGGTCTTACCATTGTTGGTCAACGTCAAGCCATTCCCAACTCCAGCCTTCAGTTCCGTTGGATCTTGAGGATGAAAAGCAGGCATCCGCGAGCATGTTGATGACACGTTCATGTAGCAGCTTTGCGGGTTCGGAAGGCACAGCATCTTGGTGAACTGACTCAGAATCGCGCACACAAAAGGAACCAAAGCCCCGGGCCCTGAGCCCCGCTGCGCTTGCCCCTTTTCCCAACCTAAGGCCCCGTCCACAACACATGCCTGAGGCGTGGGGTTTATTTTGCCCGACATCAATCAATTGACCACTCAAAACTCGCCGTTATGTGGCCACCAAGCCGAGTCTCCCATCGTGATACCCCGAAGGGCTCGAGTCTCGTCCGCCTCTGTTCGAGCGATTGAAGTCGTGTGCGCCTCGCCGTCGTCATTGGAGGCAGCGACCCGGCGAATCATAAAAAAAAAACTTCCCAAACCAATTTGGGCACCGGCGACTCGCACGAACTCGCACTGGCGCCAGGCCTGCACCGCACCGACGCTTGCCTTAGTAGTGGGGAAAGTATTGGAGGAGAACGAATCGAGCACGAGCTAGCGCTGCAGTGGCCGACACCAGCCAACAGCAGGCCAAGAAGCGATCATCACACGCTCGGCTGATTGCCCCGACTCCCTGCGCCCGCAGTCCCCAGTCACACAAATCCACGCCTGCACTGTCTCGGTTTCCCCTGGTTTCTGCCGTGAGCCCTCCCACCTTGTCTCGATTCGGCCGCCGGCTGCTCGCTTTCGTGTAAGAGCAATTGGAGCCGCCCTGGGGACATTCCCGCAATGTCCTCATCCCGCCCCGCCGTCACACCCACGACCTCGTCCTATCCATCGTCCGACGCCCTTTTTTCGAGCACGCCGCCGCCCGCCCCGTCCGCCTTCTCCGCTGGTCCTGGATCCCACACGTCGCCGTCCCCCCGATCCCGATCCCGCCGCACCAACAGGAGCCGAGACCTGGCCAACCCTGGCTCGAGGAGCCACTTCTACCACCTCGACGCGATCGACAACAATCCCCCTGCAGACCCCGACCGTCCCTCGGCCCCCGCCGTTCATCCTGCTACCACCTACTCGACATTTCCCTCCAATCCGCCCCGGAGCTCGTCTCTTGCCGGTCGCAACCCCCCACGCACCTCATCGCTGTTGCCGCCCGCGAGAATTGTTGTCGACCCGGGCACTCCCCACGCCGACGCTCCCGAGCTTCGGGATCCGTTCAATGACCCCCGACCGGCGCCCAAGATCCCCGATTCCGCCCGAGATAGAGACTGGAAACACAAGAGGGGGCATTCGCGGTCAAGCAGCGCCGGGGGCCTGAGCGACACTCTTCGCAACCTCAACCGCTGGTCGGCCTCGACGACTTCAAGTCGCGCATCACATATTGCCGACTTCACTCGCCGGGTAAGTTCTGAGATACTAGGCGGAGCATTCACATCGCCGGGCAAGAAACTCCATCGGCGTCGACCTTCAACACCGGGTGGTTCACCTCGGTCATCGATCCAGTTAAGGAATCGGAACGAACCGGCCGCGACCACTACCCTCGCACCGCTCCAGAGTCTGCCCCAGATTGCAACGGGGCCGTCGCTTGAGGACGAAGTTCTCGAAGCCCATGCGTTGAGGCAGTTCTCTTTGGACCAGCCCGAACAGGCGCCAGAACCCCGACAGGACAGCGGCAGGTTTTGGGATGACCAAAAAGACGAGGAAGAGGAGCAGGGATCATCATCTTTTCAGGCGCACCTCGCCGAACCTCAGCCTGCCACGATGGTTATGAACGGTTCTACCATGCCCTACACACAAAATGGCCAGGTCAGGGGCCACTCACGCAGCCGATCAACCGGGGCAAAAGGAAGCGCCGACACCACTGTCTCTTCGCGGAGCCGAGATAGAGATCGTGACCGTGAAAGGGACCGTGATCGCCAGGGAAAGCCCATGTCGCAAAAAGCAATGTTGTCCAAAGCTCTGCAAAAAGCCAACACCGCCGTTCAACTGGACAATGCGCAAAATTTAGAGGGCGCTAGGAGGGCCTATGCCGAAGCATGTAGTGTGCTGCAGCAAGTACTCCTGCGGACTTCTGGTGAGGAGGACCGGAGGAAGCTCGAAGCCATCGTGAGTACCCACGGTTTAGCATTGCCGGTTCCACCCAGAGTCTAACAAGTCTCGTCTCGGGCATTAGCATGAAACTTACCTAGCGCGGGTAATGGAACTGGACGAGCAACTCGTCGACATGGAGCCTGAGGGGAAGGCGTTACCCCAACGGCCTGAAAGCAACGACCTTCACGATGTTCTGAACGGGCAAATAGCGGGTGGTCAATACTCTCACCCAGCTACGAGCGAAAGAGAGCGAATTCAGGGAGAATTCTTGGATGCCCAGTTTGCTCAGGAGCCGATGAGACACCCCCCACCGCCGTCAAGAGCATCACCACTTCCCGGTGATGCCGCAAGGGATCCCAGAGATGGGCCCTCGTCCTACCTAACCCAACAGTACTCCCTACAGTCTGCTTTTTCAAGGGCCCGGTACCAGAACGGCTCCACGCTACGGCCCCCGAACATAGATAACGCATACATGCCACCACCGCTCTCACCTCGACGACCACACTCTCCCGCCCGGCTTTCGCCACCGCCTGTCGAGCACGACAGCCCTCAACGCCCCCCCCCCAGAGCTGCCGGCCCAGAGCACCCAGTTAGCGCCGCCGCTCCCGCACTTGGGACATAAACGAGCAGGCAGCCACGAGTCGGTCTCGTGGCTGGATCCAATCGACGAGTCCGAGCATTCGAGCGTAACGTCAGTGCATTCGCGTTCCTCTTCCCGGGTTGTACGTAAGCACATACGAGCTGCCAGCGGCGCCACGGAAGCCGAGTTCGACGCAGCTTTGGACGACGCCATCGAGGCCGCATACGACGATGGATATGACCCAGAAGCGCAATACTCCGAGCACCTATTTCACGATGCCCAAGTGGATCCCATCGCGAACACACTGCGGCGAGTGGAGATCGCCAGGGAATTAGTGCGTGAATCCGAAAGAGAGGCGCTGGAGCTTGCAAACGAGCGTGAGCAAAGACTACGGCGACAACAACAACTGGAGGATGAGGAATACCGCAGGCAGGAGGCTATCGGCGAGGATGAATTTTACGACGGCAATGACTCGGAAGAGGATGAACGACTGCTGGAGCAGATGACGCAGGGCAATACCATTCAGGACTTTTCGTTTGGTGTCCAGTCGAGGCCACCGGTCCCGCGAGAATCCGACTCGAGCGGCATGACCGGCCGGACCTGGCACAGCTCCATGGGATCTAACCCGGCTACTGGAACCACGCTTCTCACCCCGGTAAGCGAAGATAACGGTCTCCCGCATCCATCAGGCCCATTGCCGGCGTTGCCACCCCACGCCATGGCTCCGCTTCCCCCGCCTCCCACTTCCGCGGGGTCCCAGGGCTCCGGCCAAAGCGTCCGGAACAGGCGGCTGTCGGGTCAAAACCCGAAAGAGCTCAAGATCGAGACAACTCAGCTTGCCCCGACAGCACCAGCAACAGCCGGGCCGGCAATCCCATCCATGCCAAAGGCGGGCAGTTACATCGTACAACAACGTCAAGCTCTATCCGCTGGCCCCAACCGGACGGCGGGTCCTTTTTCTGCGAGGCTCGGCCCGTCCCCTATTCCTGGAACCCTCGACGAAGAGCCAGACGACACACCGCTACCACCGCTGGCCTTTTCGCAGGAAGACTACTCACGCGTGGGGACCCCGTCGGTCGTGAGACCCAATCTCCGGAAGAACTACTCCGCTTCCTCCCTCAAAAGCCTAAAGACACGCAACCTCTCCATCTCGCACATGGAAGAAACACCAGACCACTCTCCCGGCACCCCGTTGAGCACCCAGTTCGGCTCGCGGCTCCCCGCGATGCCGTCGCTCCCGCCAGGCCTCGTCAAAGACCGCACCAACAGCGCCACTACCAGCGGCCTGCACCTTTTCGAGAACCACTTCCACTCCGCCGACGACCTGGGCTCCCCGAACCTGCTCCACCCCGACGCACCCGCGCCCCTCGAACCCTGCCCCAGCGACGTCACGCTCCGCCCCTTCTGGCTGATGCGCGCGTTATACCAAACACTGTGCCACTCGCGCGGCGGGTACATCAGCACCAAGCTGTTCGTGCCGCGCGACGTGTGGCGCGTCAAGGGCGTCAAGCTCAAGGGCATCGAGGACAAGATCGCCAACTGCGACCTGCTGACCGCCGCCCTGCAGAAGCTGGCCCGCGTCGACACCTGCGACGCCGACGCCGTCCTCGAGGAGATGCAGGCGCTTGAGGGCGTGCTTGAGCAGGTGCAGAGCAACCTGTCGCGGCGCTTGGGCAGTGACGTCGGCGTGCAGGGGGCGAGTGCCATGTTCAAGGATGCGGCGGCGGCGGCGGCCGGGGATGGGACCGATCCGGCGTCGATGCCGCGCTCGGCGAGCGTCGCGGGCAAGGCGAGCAGCTTTTCGTGGAGGAGGTTGAGGAGCAAGAATAGCTCGGCGAATCTGCCGGGGCTGGCGACGGGGTATGGTGGGAAGGGTGGGAGCGGTGGGAATGTTGGAGGTGGGGCGAGCTCGACGAATCTGAACGAGGGCATGGGCAAGGATATGGTCATTGCTAGCTTGCCGATGACCAGCCATCCGACCAGTCGGCCGACGAAGCGGGATCTGGGTGGTGTCGCGTTTGGGGGTCCCAATGCGAATTACATGGCGTCGTTGGCTAGGTTGTTTGACGCCGCGCAGACAGTGGGTAAGTAACCACCACTTCTGACGGTGATGAAGGAGCACTGGGGAGAGACAGGCTGGCTGACATTTTTGTCTTGTAGACCAAATCGCGCGACAAGTCGACGATCCGGGCTTGCGTCACGCCGACAAGACACAGGTCGGCATCGAGCTGTGCACACGCCACGCAGCTGAGTTCTTTGCGTTTTATGTCTGCCGGTTTGCGCTGGCCGACCTGACGCTCCTGTTAGACAAGTTTGTGAAGCGCGGCACCGAGTGGGTGCTGATGTGAACGTCCCTCCCAGTTTCACATAATGGTGTTGCAGCCCCGCCCCACCGTGTAGGTGAAGCAAATGGCCGTGCGATATCAGCGCTGGCTGTTGTTGTTTGAACGAGACTCGTACTGGTGTACGAGCTTCATGATTGATTGAGAGCGCCATCTCCAGGGGATGGGTGAATGGGGTGTGTATAATTGCATGCATGCATGGAACGGGGGAAGAATTGTATGTACCTGGCCAGGAGGGAGAAACTCCCTTTCCGTTTAGACGCTTGAGATATGTTTCATTACTGCTGCAGGTTGGGACACTGAACACAGAAGGACAGAAGCGCGGGATCATGGGTTGGAGCGCTGTACATAGCTTTTCTTGCTGTTGTTCATATTAATTCCAATGTCTTCAAAGTTGTTACCCCTGAACCCCTCTCCCTCTTTTTCGTGCGGGTCGTTTTCACAGGGGGCCGATAAGATAAGCATTTGAGCTTCAGGAAGTTGCGGGATGAACTCTTGGCGTTCCTGGCGATCTCCAATTTTCGGGCACGAAGCAGCTAACCAAAGACGACGACCACCCGCCGATATCTCGACACGAAAACCGATTCCACCACGGATTACATGACCTAGAACGCCAATTGGATGCGTGGCGTGCCGGGCCGGGAAACACGGATGGGACTATGGCTGCGGCGTGTGCGTCTGGCGCCGCCTCTGGGCCGAGTGTCTCTGCTGTCGACGCCGACGCAGGCTTTGCGCACAGCAGCAAGAGGAGGAACAGTAGTAGTGCCACGTAGCACGCGATGCTTTACCGGAGATCCACGACTGCGAGGGCCGTTACCGAGTCCGAGATCTATCCGTACCCCCACGGGTTATCCCCTCACCCCACATCGAACCGTCCCGACGACGGCAACACCACTACAATGCCGATTCGCCAGTACGTCTGTCAAAGACGGGCCCGAGCAGCGCCGCGCCGCCGAGCTCGAGAAACGCATTGCAGCAATACCAATCGAGCGCTACCGTAACTTCTGCATTGTCGCCCACATCGACCACGGCAAGAGCACCCTCTCCGACCGGCTCCTCGAGTACACAGGCACCATCTCAGCCAGCGATGCCAACAAGCAGATCCTCGTACGTCCAACCATTCTCTCAATCTCCCCTCCCCCCCCTTCCCCCCCCTCCCCTCCTACACAACCCAACAGCACCCCCTAACAACCACCCCCCGCACCCACAGGACAAACTCGACGTCGAACGCGAGCGCGGCATCACCGTCAAAGCGCAAACCTGCACCATGATCCACCGCTCCGCGCGCGACGGGCTCGACTACCTGCTCCACCTGGTCGACACCCCGGGCCACGTGGACTTCCGCGCCGAAGTGACGCGCTCGTACGCCTCGTGCGGCGGCGCCCTGCTGCTGGTGGACGCCTCGCAGGGCGTGCAGGCGCAGACGGTGGCAAACTTCTATCTGGCCTTCGCGCAGGGGCTGGCGCTGGTCCCCGTGGTGAATAAAATTGATCTGCCGACGGCGGATGTGCAGCGCGCGTTGGAGCAGCTGGAGAGTGTCTTTGAGTTGGATACCTCGTTTGCGGTGAGGGTGAGCGCCAAGACGGGCCATGGCGTGGGGGAGATCCTGCCCGCGGTGCTGGAGCATGTGCCGGCGCCGGTGGGGGATACGGCCAAGCCGTTGAGGATGTTGTTGGTGGATTCGTGGTATGATACGTTTAAGGGGGTGGTGTTGCTGGTGAGGGTGTTTGATGGGACCGTGAGGGCGGGGGATAAGCTGGCGAGTTTGCAGACGGGGAATGAGTATATTGTGGGGGAGGTGGGTATCCAGTATCCGAACCAGGTGCCGCAGAAGGTGTTGCGCGCGGGGCAGGTTGGATATGTGCACTTCAACCCCGGGATGAAGAGGATTCAAGACGCCAAGATTGGGGATACCTTCACGACAGTGGGGTCGGAGAAAGCCGTCGAGGCGTATCCGGGGTTTGAGGAACCCAAGCCGATGGTTTTCGTCGCGGCGTTCCCGACGGATCAGGGTGATTACACGAAACTCGCGGACAGCATTGGGCAGTTGGTGCTCAACGATCGTAGTGTCACGCTGCAGAAGGACTTCTCTGAGGCTCTTGGCGCCGGATGGCGGTTGGGCTTTTTGGGGAGTCTTCACTGCTCGGTCTTCCAGGACCGCCTTCGTCAAGAGCACGGCGCCGACATCATCATCACGGAGCCGGCGGTCCCGACAAAGATCGCCTGGAGCACCGGCGGCGCGGAGACGATCATCACGAACCCTGCCGACTTCCCCGAGGGCGAAGACGTCCGCATGCGCAAGGCCATTACCTTCGAGCCGTACGTGCTCGCCACCATCACACTGCCCGACGAATACTTAGGTAGGGTCATCGAGATCTGCGAGAACGCCCGCGGTCTCCAAAAGAGCCTCGAGTTCTTCCACGCTACGCAGGTCATCCTCAAATATGAGGTGCCCATGTCGAGCTTGGTTGACGATTTGTTCGGAAAGCTGAAGGGCGCCACCAAGGGCTACGCCACGTTAGACTACGAGGACGCGGGGTGGCGGGAGAGTCAACTGGTCAAGATGAACCTGTTGGTTAACAAGGAGCCCGTGGACGCCATTGCGCGCGTGGTTCACGCCAGCCAAGTAGACCGGCTGGGCAGGCAGTGGGTGACCAAGTTCAAGGAGCACGTCGACAGGCAGATGTTTGGTACGTTGCGACGCTCCCACGCCGCCTCTTTCCCCCTTGATAAGATGCGTGAGACTGACCCCTCACAGAGATCATCATCCAGGCCGCCGTGGGCAAGCGCATCGTCGCCCGTGAAACCATCAAGCCCTTCCGCAAGGATGTCCTAGCCAAGCTGCATGCCAGCGATATCTCGCGCCGCAGGAAACTGCTCGAGAAGCAAAAGGCGGGCCGCAAGCGCCTCCGTGCCGTTGGCAACGTCGTCATCGACCAGTCAGCGTTCCAGAAATTCTTGTCTAGGTGAGAGGCTATCATCGCCACTCTGTGTTACTAGTTTGGTGTAATATAGCTGCGATTTCGGGTTCATGAAAATTCGGCGCTCGGGTGGTCTTTTTCATAGAACTCGTTGGATGGCGTATTGTGTATACCGAATGAAGCCTGGCGCTGCAGTGTCAAGACATAGAAGCGACGTTTCACCTCATACTTGTGGCCCTGACGATGCCTTTTGGCCGGTCTCAAGTTTCACTTTGGGATAATCGGGGGCTAACTCGCTGAAGATAAACATGGCCAACTGCAACGACTGGTAGTCGTGAAAACGGGTTGTTGGTTGTCCTGCTGACCAAGTTATCCTGGTGCCGTGAACGGGTATCCGGGTTGGGCGCCGCTGAATACAGCCTAGACATAGTGCATTCTGCCAAGCGATCTCTAAGCACCGCAGGGACGTCTTAATGAGCCCGTCCGATATTACAAGCTCCGTCTCACGACTTAACGGCCACGGCGACTTGAATGGACGCGCACTGCAGCTGCTGGCCGCGCCTGTGGACGGAGAGAATAGATCCACGAATACCCTCCCAACAGGACAATGGCAGTCATCCGCTTCCCCGGTTGCCTCTTTCTACCCGGCGCCGGCTCAATGATCTAGGGTCAGAGTCCAAACAAGCTGTCGTATTGCGGTGACGTTGGTACATATTGACATGTCTGACCATCAACAGTTTTGGAACAAAAGCTTGGCATGCGATTGGAGCTGTTATGCGAACCATGCCCTTGATCATGGCGCGGTGCCGTCCAATGTGCCAAGTTAGATGCCCAAGCGGCTCTTGTTGCGGCGCGTAGGGTGGCACAAGGTGATGGCCCTTGGACTCTGTGGCCGGCACATGAGACTCGCTTGGCCCCCGCCCCAATGTTCCACCAATAGCCAAAGCCTGGACCGGAAAATAGACATCTCATTGGGGCGCATGGCTTTGGAATCGTTGTATAATAAGGCGTCTGTGGGGAAGAGGGTTGTAGAACCTGATATTATAGGGATCTGGCAAAAGGGGGATGATCACCCTTTAACCGTCCAAACAGGGCGCGGCTAAAGGAGACAAAAATGCCCGACAAGGAGGCAATGCACTCCAGCCGCGGGGCCCCGCTTGCAGATGCCGTGGGCTTACCGAATTGGGGGTCTGATTCGAGATTCCGGGTCGTGTTATAACAGGAAAAGAGCGGCGGGATCCTCAGGAACGAAACACATTGCAGGGGTCCGACAGGGAAACAAACAAGGAATCTATTCGCCGCCTGGCGCGGGGACTGTTCTGGAAATACGGGACGGGCGGGTAGATTTGCAGACACGCAGACTCGCAGAGCGATGACGACCGGGAACGTGTGTCTGCCCGCGGGGTATATAGGATGATCCCCCTTCCGCGGTTCCCAACTGCTTGGTCGATGTCTGGGCAGCAGCACACGGAACCAAACAAGCACTGCTTAGCGTCTTGAACTCCAACGTCATAACCATGAAGGCCAGTCTTCTCTTCTTGGCGCCGCTCGCCGTCTCGGCAGCACCCGCCCTCGACACTCGCCAGGCGGCCGAGAGCATCGACAAGCTGTTCAAGGCCAAGGGCAAGCACTACTTTGGCACCTGCGCCGACCAGGGCCGTCTCGGCGCCGGCAAGAACGCGGCCATCATCGAGGCCAACTTCGGCCAGGTGACGCCCGAGAATAGCATGAAGTGGCAAAGCATCAACCCCAACCAGGGCAGCTACAACTGGGGCCAGGCCGACTACCTCGTCGACTGGGCCACCCAGCGCAACATCACCATCCGCGGCCACACCTTTGTCTGGCACTCGCAGCTCGCCGGCTGGGTCAACAACATCCGCGACAAGGCCACCCTGACCAAGGCCATCCAGGACCACATCACCACCGTCATGACCCGGTACAAGGGCAAGATCTACGGCTATGTATGTTTTCTTGTTGGCGTGAGCATGCCAAACCCGAGCTAACCCGCAACGCCCTAGGACGTCATCAACGAGATGTTCAACGAGGACGGCTCGCTCCGCAGCAGCGTCTTCTCCAACGTGCTCGGCGAGGACTTTGTCGACATCGCCTTCAAGGCGGCGCGCGCGGCCGACGCCAACGCAAAGCTGTACATCAACGACTACAACCTGGACAGCCCCAACGCGGCCAAGGTGACCAACGGCATGGTCAACCACGTCAAGAAGTGGTTGGCCGCCGGCACCCCCATCGACGGCATCGGCACCCAGGGCCACCTCCAGTCCGGCGGCGGCAACGGCCTCGCCGGCGCCATCAAGACTCTCGCCGCTTCCGGCGTCTCCGAGGTTGCCGTCACCGAGCTCGACATCCAGAACAGCAACACCAACGACTACACCGCCGTCACCCAGGGCTGCCTCGACGAGCCCAAGTGCGTTGGTATCACCGTCTGGGGTGTGCGCGACCCTGTGAGTTGGCTCCTTTTTTCTCCAGTTACGGTTAGGCGAGATGGACTATCGTGGGACGGACTGCTAACCAAATACTTTCATAGGACTCGTGGCGTCCTCAGGGCAACCCGCTTCTCTTCGACAGCAACTACAACCCCAAGGCCAACTACAACGCCATCGTCAGCCTTCTGTCCAAGTAAATTCGAGGCTGTTCCAGGCGATCCCGCCGGGTCGTTGAGACGGAAAACCAGGACGGAAAAAAAATCAAGGTTCAATCCAAATTCTGGACATGACTTATTCTTGTGTACATATGGGATAGCTACAAAGTGTTTATGACATGATCGCGCATGTTTGTGTATGCCATTGTTCATTTGACATCCCGAGGCTTGGTGAGCCAGTCTTAGCCCTTTGGCAAGCCTATTCAAGAGATATCAACTGGGCGGCACCGGAGCATCGCGACACACATCAAGCCCAGGAGAAGAGAGGAAAAAACATAGGTACCTACATGTTTTCTCACACATGACCCCAACCAACCACCGCACGTTGAAAAGGACGGGAAGTGCGATTTGCAGCTCAACAGCGTTTGACACACAACGACATGTCCACCTTGAAGTTGAATTGATTAAGTGCCTAGGTAAACCGGGTGTCAAAAAGTATTTTATTGGCATGTTAGTTACACTCACACCACCACTATTCGACCCCCATTCTAACCACCACCACAACGTTAGGTATCCAGTGAACAGCTATACGTGGGCTTTGTAGGAAAGCCTCATTCTTCGGTTCTAGGATGACGTGGAATTTCGATTTATATGGACACTTTTGCCTGACATACGAATCTTGCAATTGAGGACATGAAAAGTGCGTGGCAACACACAGCTTCGCCTCAAGCTGTTTGAAGGTGTAGGGAATACCAGGGTATCGCGATAGCGTTAGAAGCACAGGGCAAATCCCTTTCTCTCTGGAGGGACGTGCTACATTCGTGGTTCAATTGGATCATGTTCTTCTATCTAGAAATGAGGGGGGCGCAGATTTTGCAGCCGGGGTTGTCGTCCCCGAGGTCCAGGACTACGTGACGACTGCCCCAGCGGTGGATCCCCCCCCTGCCCTCCGTCACGTCCCCCTGCGAGGACGTAACTCTGGCGTAGATATTCCGACAGAAGGGTATTACCGCCGATTTTTTTATGACAGTCAGTTTGGAGAACGTAACTTATATCAGTTCAAAATTCACTAGTCCTGTCCGGAGGACAATATTGCGGTCAAACTTTTGGGAATTACTATGGGAAACTGATAACTAAGCTTTAACGGCCCTTTTATCGCGGAGTGTCGATTGGTTGGAAGGCTTTCCTCCCGTGACTTCGTGAGCATAAACCGATTTATGTCACGGTTATGGTCGCGTACCGCGCCCCGATGGGGGCACGCGCGGGAAGCGTTCCCAGCCAATCATTAAGAATGGGTCTCAGACCAATCAGCAGAGGAACGGATACGGAGGGAACGGCTACCGTTCCCAGGATCCAGTATGGAACGAGAAGAACGATCACCGTTCCTCACGTTCCCAGCAGAAGGTACGCCGGTACCTAGGAAGCCTAGATAGTATATAGTCACTCGTTCTGGAGAGCTCTGGGAGTTCTCCAGTTAGCAATCACAACTACAGTTCGCTACAAGCACGAGAGCCTACTGTTGAGACAAGCCTTTGTTGTGCACCCTTTGGCTGCACCGAACCTAAGCACCCTTGAGAGACTACCTTCGACCGAAGCTGAACCCTAACAGGACAGGGTCCTGAAGTAGGTTCGTCACAATTTACGTTTACAGATCTGCGTTTCGCGTTTTAGAGGTGCCCAACAACAAAGTCAAAAAACCACTTTCCGATTCTGGGATGCGATATAAATGGATCTCACAATTGTCGTAGGCGGCGCTGACGAGTGGGCCACTTCAGGGCGAAGAACGAGAACCGTCGGCCTCCGCCCCTCCGGCTGCAGATCGATGGAGGAGGTGGGACTGGCAAGTCGTATATGGTGAAGGTGATATCTTCTCACCTTCAGGCCAAGGCGGCTTCCTATGGCCGACCCTCCCCCATCGTTAGAGCAGCTCCGACGAGCGTGGCGAGCAACCAGATCGGGGGACAGACTTTGCATTCCCTGCTGCGGCTCCCCGTCGACGGCAATTACCGCTCGCTCTCCGAGACCCTGACGACCCTCAACGCCTTGCAGCGGCGGTTCGGGGGCATCCACTACCTCGTGATTGACGAGAAGAGCATGCTCGGCCTCAAGACCCTCGCGTGGATCGACCAGCGCCTACGAGAGGTGTTCCCGGCGAATCGCGACGAGTTCTTCGGCGGCCTCAGCGTCATCCTGATCGGGGACTTCTTCCAGCTTCCCCCTGTTCTGAACAAGCCGCTGTACTCAACGCGCGACGACCTGAAGGATATCGAGATGGTTGGGCGCAACGCGTACCTCTCGTTCGACAAGTCCGTGTTCCTGACCACAATACAGCGGCAGCAGGGCGAAGACCAGGCTCCTTTCCGGCGGGCCTTGGAAGAACTGCGAAAGGCTGATGTGTCGGTACCCTCCTGGGAGCTCCTTTCTTCGAGGTGTTCTGTCAAGCTCTCTCTCCCGAGGAGGTTGACAGCTTTGCTGATGCGCTTCGCATCTATCCAACCAAGACCCAGGTCGTCGAGTACAACCACCAACACATGCTTGGCCTGGACAGCCCCGCCATTCAGGTCGAGGCAAAGCACGAGGGTGTTGGTGCGGAGAAGGTTGAATCCTCAAATGCGGTCAACTTGGCCAAGCGCTTGCCCTTGTGTTTTGGTTGCAGGGTGATGCTGACGCGGAATTTGTGGGCCGACGTCGGGCTCGTCAACGGCGCACAGGGCACAGTTTACGACATATCCTGGAAAGAAGGTGCCGACGTGCTGCGAGACCCGCCCGAGGTCATCATGGTGGCCTTCGATGACTACGACGGCCCGGCCTTCACGATGCCGAACGGGGAGCCGCTCCGTAGTGGAGAGAAGCTGGCTGTTCCCATCCTCCGAGTGCGGCAGGACTTCATGGTCGGCGCCAACTCATGTTCGAGAGAGCAGTTCCTGATGTTGGTCAGCTATGCGATCACCGTCCGCAAGTCACAGGGAATCACCCTGGACAAGGTCGTCTGCGATATCTCTGCGCCAAAGTTTGCTTCTGGTCTCTCCTACGTGGCCGTCTCGCGGGTGAAGACACTCGGCGGGCTGATGTTTGAGCGGCCCTTCGACCGCAGCAGGATCTACCGCGAGACACCATCACGAGCTATGGGGTTGAAGTTGTCCGATCACGCTACCAGGCAGCTGCAGGCGTTAGATGCTGTGGCGGGGGAGGTTCCCTCAGAGTCTAATTGATTTGTAAGTAGCGAGGACGTGGGTGTAGAGACGTAACGTGAGTGGCAGAATAGAAACGATTAGTAGCTATAGTTAAGTGTAAGAAGACGGCTCAAGTAGATGGAGTTGTTGGCCGACGGATAGATATTGGCGCTTCGTCTCTCCCGTAATCAACCCCAACCCCGATTGCCCTCCGGAGAGGGACAGGAAAATTGCCAGGAGCGGGAGAGAGAAAGGAAGCGCCCCGTAGCGTAGCGAAGGGCCGCGCGACTGACGAACGAAGCGACGCCAGCAATTTTAATAGGGATCTATTTACTTTTCCCCTACCCTGCCCCCAGGGTACGCTCCCCTAAATTCTCAAGTCTTTTTTGCCCCAGGAGCCAGTACGTTGACGACACAGTCACCACGGCTCAACATGGTGGCGGATTTGTACCAGAATCGGACCCTTCAGGCCCGAATGTTGTAGAACCCTACGAATTGAATGAATTACCTCCGTCCACTTCGAGAAATTGCATGAAGTCTTCACCGAGGGGATTGCCGGCAAAGTTTGAATCACCACCTCCGAATGAACCCGAGCCCTCGGCGACGCCTTCCCCTCCGCCCGGATCCCCCGCTTGGTTCAAATCCATTTCAAGGTTTGATAGACTTGATCCATGGAGCACCGGCACCGTGGTGGCCACGGGCTGTATTACGTCGAATAAACTTCGATCACGCCAAGAACGCATGAGATTGGATGCCGTGAGGTTGTTGACTTCGACGTCACTTGGTCCCTGGTCCACGAATATACCACCGGGCACCGTCTGTACCGCGGAGGGCGTGAAGGCTGCTGGCAGGGCGGGAGTTATCACCGGCGTTCCATCATTGGTCTGACCCGGGATGCTGGAAGCAGTTCTGCGATTCTCGGGCGCCTTGCCCTTGTTCCTGGCTGTATCAATACCTTGGTGGGGCCGTTCACTAGATGCCGTGGCTTGATGTGCCTGATGGATATCGGCCACCAAGCTCTGGAAGATAGCTTCGGTGGCTAAACCGAAGACGCGCTGTGCAAATGCCACCTGCCCTTCCTCATTCCGCTGGGCGGATTCTGGATCCTCGTCGGCGGCGCTTCTTCTATCCGGCAGCAGGCCATGTGCGTGGATGATATCTCGGATCTATGGAATGCGTCAGCGATGCCCAAATTTCTTGACCCAGGCCTTGCCAGTCAATGCGGGAACATACTATTTCGTCTCCACGTCTCGAGACGAACTCTTGATAGCGGAGCATATGCTCGGGGACCTCGTCCACAAAACAGCTTGTTGGCTCACTCTCCCCTGGGAATAGGATCCTCCAGACACTGAACCATTGCCCAGAGAGGCTCTGTGTCTTGTCTACCCTTGCTCTCAGAGAGGCAGCGAGCGCGTCAGTCCGCAGCAGTGCCGTCTCGTCCCGAAAGGGCTGCGTCTCACAGGATTGCCCCGTGACGTGTTCTACAAAATCATCTGAATTTTCCAACTCCACTTTACAGTTGGGACAATACATAAGCGGACGTATGTGACAGCGATGGATATGGTGCTTGATGTGGCTGATGTGGACAAACCCCCTGGCGCCCCCGGTGCGCCCGCCGCCGCAGAAGAAGTGCTTGAGGGGATATCGTTTTTGGAATGGACAGGCAAGCCGTTTTGCCCCCTTTTCTATGCGTTTTCGTTTCGGGGGTGGTGACTTCTCTGGCTCGTCGTCTTCCTCCCGTCCTCGCTTTTGTCGCACATTGCCTTCCTGGGATGACGCTTGAGAAGTTATCGCGGTCGATAGGGAACGAATCCCGGAAGACGCGAGAGAACCAGCGGAGTCAGATGGTGTATTATGCGGTGGCGAGGACTCGGGAGCTTTGGCAGGGTCGATAGCTGCACCAGTCATGCCAGAAGGACTGACGGTTTGCAACTCTCTCTCATAGGCCGCTGTGAGAGCCCGCACGGTCGCTGACAGGGCCGAAGAGAAGCGCGAGCCACTGGGGACAAGAATATCGTCCAATTCGAAGATATCAAACGATCCAGTTCCTTCGCTACTGGGCCTGACTCCCGCTCTCGTCCGTCGACGGAGAGCTTTCATTGGGATGACATCTCGTTGTCTGATCCTGGCGAAGGCGAGTCGAACATTTTGACTGTCGGCTCAGAGGCCACATTCAAAAACATAGCGTCGCTATTGGCGCTTGGCCTGGTGGTATTCTCGGCGATCTGTTCGCCGAATTCGCTCAATTCCGAATCGGCAGGTTGGTTTGAGGTTGCTAGGGGTGCATTCCGAAGGTCGATGATTGCAGAAACGCCCATATCGACATCGCCTGGAATAACGGGGAGTTGAGCCCAGTTATGGCAGAAGCTCTCCAGCAATCTGGAGATGGCAGCCGGGGCAACCTTTTTGCCGGAGACCCTTGTCCGTTCGAAAAGGTCGCACAGCTCTTGGGAAGTGGTAGATATCAAGTGCTGGCGAAAAAGGAAGAGGTCCGCAGAAGAAAAGTCTGTTTCGGCGTAGGGCGATGTTGGGGCAGGAAATTTTGGGAAGAGGGCATGCCATATCCCTTTCCAGCGATCCTCGTGTGACGCGGTCAGGTTCCCTACCGCAACATTGATAGCGTTCCAGTCGGCCGTTGTGATGGAAGGGGCGAAACTCGTCACTCTCGGAAGGAAGGAGCCAGGAAAAGCGGTGCATCCGGCGCTTGCATTAAAATGTTTTCCGAGATCGGTCTCCCATGGGAACGTCGCGGAGTAAGTGTCGCAGTAGTACGTAAAACTATAATGGCACTGAAACAGATGTTGTTTAAGGTTCCCCACAGTGAGCGAGCGATGCTCGAAGCAGTCTTTGAATTCTAACGGGCTGAACTTCCAGAATGGGCAGGCCAGGGGCTTGGTTGCTCTCGTTCCTTCCCGCGATCTTTTGTATCAGCAAGGAGTTCATATGGGTTAAAGTGGTCGCAGTTAAGGGCCCAAGATGTCTTGTTGCCCAGCCACTAGAGCCCTGTCCGCGCAGACGTACCTGGTGTTCTCCATTCCCACGGGACGTCACGATGACTTAAAAGTGTTCTAGGTGTTGATAATTCTCCTGCCATGATAAGACGCTCGCAGAATTGAATCTCCAAAGTAAGTATCTCGGGCGGGTGATTGGGAAGTAAAGTATGACCACCGTGAGCTGGTCCCGGAGACGGCGGAGAGTTGACCCATTTTCTTTTTCGTGGACCGCGCTAAGCGACTTACCAGAGGCCGCCCGTCTTTCAAAAGACAAATTTGTGTCTTTGCCCTGGCAGGCGGCCAATGAGACACGTGTCGCGTTCTGGCCTTCTGCACTGGGCAGTAAGTCGGTGTCAAGTGGTAAGTCGGTGTGGGAGCAGTGGAGCACGAAGACATGGCGCGAGCGACATCAATGTTCGCCCCCCTTTGCTGTTAGGCCCCGAGAAGTTCGATACCGAGTGAGATTTCCTTGCTCATAAGCGTGTCTTGCCGCTTCCGTCGAACAAGGCACGAAAAGAGGGATGCGTAGTCGAGTGGCCAAGGTATAATTTCACGTTGCTAGCATTCCCATAAAGCCGTTGAGGATCTTGTAAAATGAGCAGTAAAGCCTGGATATCGCTACACTCAGATCAATTCAGTCGGTTCAATCGCCTGGCAAGCCCCGGTAAAGTGTCTCATACTTAGGTCTATCTTCGCTCCCACCTTTATTGCAGCTGCCACCACCAAAATGTTCCCGTCGTCCACTTCTGGAACAGCAGGAACAGGAGGCCACTGGTAAGCAAGACGGTCCGTGCGACATCAATATGGCGAACTGACAGTGCCTGGAAGCAAGGTGCAGGGCGCTGAAGGGATTGGCCGTGCGGCGGTGCATGAGTACCTGAATGGACCGCCATCTGTGGCTGACAGACTGATCTCTGGCGTGCCAGTGGCTGATATAGCCGCTCTCGTCAAGGCTCGGGAGGCAGCCACACAGGACATGCTTGCTGCCTGGCAGGGAAAGTGGGACAAGGCCTCCCGTGTGGATGTGAACCAGTAAGCATGTTTTTAATAGCTGGCAAACCCTGCGGTTTTGGGAAACTGACGTATTATTCGGAAGGCACTAGAGTGTGTCAAGCCAGCCCGGGGAATGACGCTTCATGCTGAATCCTGGATCAAGTTGGGTGCCCGGTTATCGTAGTTGAAGTGAGTATTACCAATTTACTAGCGATGGATATAAGCAGGAATGAGCAGGCGGTCGTGGAGCTACAATATTACTTTATCTATTTTGTGCATCGTGTTTCCTCTATGCCGGAGAAGAGAAAAGAATGATATGAGTCTGAAGCGATGAGCCTATTATCACCGCTCAATTTCCTCCTCATGGTTGGCCTGGATAGTTCACCTTAAAACTTTCAATTACGGTGCCGTTGCCCCTGAACCTCTCGGTAGCGCCGCGTTGACGGCGGACATGTCAAAGGCACCCCGCAGCGGAGAGGCAGCGCGTGTGGGAGCATTGGCGATGCTTTGAAGTAGAGACGGGTGAGGGTCTCCCCCGCCCGCTCCATTCGCGTCTATCGGGCGTGATTGGGGCCTAGAATCTTCATCGATGCTCCGGACCGCCATGTCCACAGATGGGATGACCCCGGGTGATATGACCGAGGAGGACAGGGGCGTTGCCGACCCCGGGCTGCCGTTGCTGCTGAACTCTGTTGAAGCGTGGTGACGAGAGGTGGGAGTTTCTGGTCTTGAGCAGTTGTTATTGGAAGCCCCGGTGGGGACCTCCTCGTCAGCGAGTATCTCAACATTTTTCTCGGCGATATTGACTTCCAAAATCCCATACTCGTCCAGAATGTCGTTGATTGCAAATGTCTGGGCGTTCAGCACGCTCTGGATAACAGCCAAAGCGTCATGCGAGACTGGCGCTACCAGTTGTGTCGCCGGATCCGTCATCATCCATTCGCACAGACGGCGGGGAAGCCTGCTGTTGAAGCAGACCTCTTGGCTCCTCTTATCCCCTGGAACGTAGACTTTCAATCCGCCAATATCCTCGCGAATATGAAGCAACGCTGAATCTTTCTCCACACGAAGTTTTGTGTCGTCTTGTGTCAGGAGAAGCTGCGCTGTAATCTTGTCCGTCTCAAGCGTTTCCGAGTTCCGGAGGAATGCGTAAAACTCGTTGAGGTTCGAGTTTCGGCTCGTTCTTGGACTGTTGTAAGTCACCGCAATCCTTGAGATTTTGGTTGTTGATTAGCTTGTGTCAAATACAAGTAGTCCAGTCATGTTCCGGAGTCAACATACCGAAGCAAAGCGTGTGCCTTTCTCCTAATATTGCGATGAGGTGTTGAGATGGGGCGTGGTGATTCCATATCCGCAGTGGTGATCTCCTCGACCGCCCTGGATAAGTACCTGTCTTCCAGGCCAGCCCACTGAAACAACGGCCGTAATATTCGAACCTCTTCCATATTAAAATCGAGAAACTTGGCCAAAGCCGCAAAGTCCTCGCCGAGGAGTTTGCGATCCATCAGTGCAAAGCTTCCAGCGCCTGTACGAAGGCCGACGTTGCCTTCTGGGAAGCGAACCGGGAACACCGGGTGTGCAATAACGACTGTTGGATCAAATCCACCACTGCCCGCGACAAGGAGTGAGTTGAAGGCAAGTAAAGTCTCCTTGGCCTCTTCAACTGACAACTCGGGGCCGTCCTTTGCCGCGAGCTTATAATAGACCAGCTCGGCCATCAGCCCAGATACGCCTAAGACGCCGACGAAGAAGTCCCGCATGTCGTTGCCGTAAAGGTTGTTGAGGATGAGTTTACCCCTGATTGGAGTGGTACTCGACCATACGCAGTCTGAAGTTGTGTACCATGTGTCGTCGAAGCCATATATGAGAGCCTCGCGCTCAAAGGTCTTCCTAAATATTGGTGACGGGGTAAGCAAACATGCCCTGCATAGCCATCGTCTAGTTATTCCGTATTATTCGAGTAATACTTACTTGAGTTTACTGAGCGCAATGCCCTGCAACCCCATGTCTGAAAGACACTTGTATAGTTCCCTCGCTCTACCGAGATCGAGATCGATGAATACTATCCCGGTCGTGTAATCTCTGATTTCGTCCACGACATGCTCCCACGAGCAGTTTGGGACCCCAAGGGTGCGCACAAAGAACGTTTCAAGACCAATAAAACTGTCATCACTGGTTTGAAATGTAGGAGTATACGCTCTGGCTAACGTGTATTTGGTAAGCATTTCGATGGGTGAGTTCCAGAGACAATCTTGGGGCTCGGCCCAAGCCGGATCATTTGTCTCGGTTTCAGGCACAAAGATGGATGGCAGGGACGCGAATGCGGTCCTAGATTGGGTGTAAGTAGTGTTTAGACCAGAAGGGGGTGTTGTGATCGGGGGTTTACCGTATTTCTTCTCGACACGCTCCACGATGTCTGGACTCATGAACCCTGTCCTGGAGGTATTCATAGAGCTTGAGCATACGCCCTGGCTGTCTCAGATCCCCTGCAAGAGAATTCGCCTCCACGATGGACTTCAAGACTCCCAGGGCAAGGCCCAAGAGGTCGCGGTCATATCCCAAGCCAAATGCAGATCCCAGGCATCTCCATTCAATGGCAGCTGCATTGTTGCTCAGTGGAGTGTCTAACTCCAACCAAGGGAAAAACTCGCCGTCAAGCATAAACTGATCACAGACCGTCACCAGCTCCTTTATAGGGAGAAAGGTTGAGTTGAGTGGGCGAAGGTTGATACCGGCCCCCTTGCACAGGACCGGGGTCCAGCCGAGATCTTCGATGACGGCGCTATCCTTCGGCTCAAGATGTAGCTCATGGCGTTTCCAGGTGGCGCGAAGAAGACCGAGGAACTTCTCGGGCCGATGCTGAGCAACATAGCGACAAGCTGTAGTCATCTCACGTTCTTCCGTGTCAGCCTCAGCCTGGCGGATCCAAGTCACACAAGGCTGAAGCCCGCAGACACGCGTGAGCCACTGCTTCCATCCACAATCAAAATCATGACGTCGTTTGGGAGGATCTTGGAAGTAGGCCGGATGTGCAAAGAGCATGTCTAGTCCGGGTGCACCAGCGCCCGCATCAAGTCCAGGCGGCGTCGCCCGCAACAGCTGTGCTGCCCCGTAAGGGCCGTCGTCGTCTCTGAGGAAGACATCCGTTTGTGTTGCGTCCTCGAGCCGTTCGAAATGGGAGTAAATTTGCAACGTCTGACTGCCGGCGAACCGATGGTCGGCAAGATGCTCTGTAAGATATAGGAAACGAAGATAGGACACGCTCTCCGGGAGCGTGGGGTGGGTGTTGCGGTACCTGTCCAAGACAACCGCCCGGATAAGAGCTGCAGGCGCATTCCTAACACCCAGAGTGTCAAAGAAATGTTTCCGATCGGCGTTGGCGGCAGCTGTCGGATCTATAATTCTCATGTTCAGAGATAAACCCGGAGGAATGTCTAGATTGGTGTCCTGAACCCTAGAGTAGCAGGTGCGGCCAGATATCGCTGAGGTCCAAGTACCGTCTGTCAGTGGAAGCAGGTTCAGCCCCATCAACTCACGGCACATGAAGTAAAGCGACTTTTGCATTGTCCTGTTGACTGCCGTGTTCTCCACAAACGGGTAGTGAAATAGCCTTGCGAGTCGTGATTGCCAGTCTTCGTCCTGAGTTGTTCGTATCCTCGATACTGGTGCTGCGAGATCAGACTTGACACTCGAAACAACCATGTACATATCCAGATCTTTGAGCCCAAGATCGCGCAATCGGTCCAGATCAGCGCTTTCGTATCGAGGAGATACATTTGGCCGTGGGTCCATGCCGGGAAGTAGGGGTTCACCGGATGCATCAAGGTGAGTAGGTTGGTGTCTCCGTACGCTCTCTATCAGCCGGAGCGGACCTGGAATGGCCGCGCGAAGAACTGGCGTCGACCTGATTTGCATTCTGATATCCGCGGCCACCCCTCTCCAGAGGAAGTCGCCCCAAAGACACACATTTTCCTCCGGAAGGTACCGCATCCACTGATATTGAAGTGTTTCGTGCTCACAGAGTTCAAGGACCGCCCTGATGAAGCCCTTCGTGATCTTCGCGGCAAGCTCACGATTCCGGGCAGCCAGGAGACAAATGTCCTGTCTGTCGGCCTGCATTACGAAGTCTGCGTGGACAAGGAATTTGAAACCAATCTGGCGGATGGGCAGAAATGAGAACACCCATTGGTTTTCCAGGATGGGTACCGAGTCTGCCGTCAGGGGAAAGGCTAGAACCACCTCCCCTCGGGAGTAGGCCCCCGACGCCTCTTCTGATTGCGAGTAGATGCGGCCCTCGACTTTGCTTAGACCCGTCGCAACACCCCTCTTGACGTAGTAATATCGATGTTGTGTCTGTTTGTGGCCCTTTTGGGATGTGTGTTTCGTGCAAACAGTTATCGGGCTCTGACGATCTATTGAGTGGGTGATGGTGCGCGTTGGCTCGCCGGGTTCGCCTCGTTCATGGTCATAGAAAGCGACCTTAATCTTCTTGATCTTCTTCATAAAGAGGAGGATTGCATCGTGGAGTTGTTCGAACTGCTGCCGGATCGTCTGGTTGCGTCCAGTTTGCTCTTCCGGCGTCCCACCCTGCAGCAGGTCCAGAGTGATTCGGGTGAACGGGCCACTGAAATAAAATGCATCCTTCCAGGTTGGTGTGATCATGCCCAGGCCGGAATCGCCCTGGCGGTGTTGAAAGCGGAATGAGAAGTGGCCAGACTGCACGTGGACCTGATAGGCTGCCATGAATACCGACTTGAACCCGATGCCTTTCTCTCCAATGTAGCCCCGGGCTCCAATCTTGGAGCTTTGGCCGACGCTGCAAATAGCTCTTAGGTTTTCTTCCGTGAATCCATTCTCGTTACACTCCAGCACCAGCTGACTAGGATACACGCTGAACGACACGTAGGGCTCATCGCCGAACGCTTGAGCCTTTGTGTATTTGTTGTCTTCAGCATTCTGGAGCAGCTCAAGAACAAACCGAGCGTTGCTCGTATAGAGGTTCTGGGCCAGGCTATAATGCTCATGGTTAGATATTGGGCGCTATTTTATGCGCAACGGGCCCCGAGCAGGTTCCTTTCCAGAACGGAGTACCAACTGTCCGCAGGGGCCATAACGTACGTCAAAACAGAAGGACCATTCACCTGGTCCTTCATAAGAATGGCATGTTCAACCTGTCGCCGGTCGGCATCTGACATACGGTCCAGCACCTCGTCAGGGATGGGGCGACGGTCATCGGCAATGCTCTTTACTAGTCGTTGTGCTTCTGCGCGACTGGATGGGCGAGTGTTGGCCATCTCTGGTTATCTGTGTGCATGCGCATCAAAGAGGAGGATGAATCGCGAGCGCGTCCTGGTACAATGGCAGAAGAATGTGCGATTGTGTAATAAATGATGCCGTCAGTTTCGTGTCTTCGTAGGCTCCATGGTTGAAGAGTTGACACACGCTCCTAGGCGACTTCCACCATCACCCGCGCCACAGCAGTGCTTCATGCAGGGGTTGCTGCCCCTGACACAAATCGTTGCAGCAGCCGCCCTGGCCCAACCTGTCGGGCCGGATCAGCGGTTAAAAACTGCAGGGGTAGAATCTCCTCCTGTTGCACAAAACGGGTGGCTGGAGATACGGTACGGCGGGTCAACGACAGGGGCTTATTGGGCCCACCAGACTGGGCCCAATGCAGCGTTTCTAAGGGCACAGAGGCTCTCCTTTTCTTCCAGCTACATCAAGCAGACTGTCAGACAATTGCATCACGAATTGAAGCCTCGGATCAGTGACCTTGCTTGCACTACGTTGCGCGCCCTGTTCAGAAGTATCGCTACTCTGGCTGTTGGATTTCCAACACCTCCCCAACGTCCCCCCAATCATTGGCCCGGACGCCAAGCAGAGAGAGAGCACACCGCATTCTTTGACGAACTTACACATATACACACCAACAAGGGATGGAATCAGCAAGATCATGAAAAGGAACCAGGTTTGCGAGAGAATATGAGCTTCCGATAGTTGCACTCAGCAACCAGTTCTGAGATAGACAACGGCGCCAGCGAGGTGCGGGCTTAGGGGCCGAGAGGCTTGAGTACCTATTTTTCAGCTCCCAGCCTGCCCCAGCCTGCCCCGCCCTTCAGCCAACTTAGCTTCGGTCATTCTAAATACATATGTTGAGAACATACCCTAGAAACAAGATGGCCAGCTTACGTGGCCGGCTGACATGGCGAGTCACCATGACATGCCTGGGTTCCTTGCCCCAACACAGTTGTAAGCTGCCCACCCATGGTGTATATAGGCTTCCTGCAACGGCACCAACAACTCTTCTGATTGACGTTGCTTGTTTAGTGAAAATCGGGAAAACATCAAATCCTCGCTGCTTCTTTCCTCAAAACGCATCGAGGAGCGCCATGCTCCCCCCTGAACCACAGGTATTGCCACGCTGTTACGCCTCTCTCAAATCTCGAGGAGAACACACCTCCCCCCGAATAGCATATGTTGCGTATCAACTGCTACAGAAGGCCACTGGCCCGAGCTGTATCACTACGCAATGGCGGGGGACGGGGTTGGTCGGTGGGATTGCAGAGGAAAGTGGGAAAAACAACCAGTGCGAATTCCACCTTAACCCTTACCTTCCCTTCACACACTCCGTGCGGGGCGGGGGCAGTGGGTGCAGGATTTCTTTCTCCTGCTTTGGGTGTGTTGTGTTGTGCTCCGCGCAAACCGATCGGGCGTTGTTGCCTATCTAGGTAGGTGGGCAAAATTAGGACTGTTGCCTGGGTAAACTGCTCTGTATTAAATGGGAGCACACGTCGGTTGCAACAGCAGGATGTTCTGTGCATTCAATCGGCTCGGTATTATTGCCACCACACTGAGCGAGGTTCGCTCCCAGGTTCAATACCTGGGCTTCTATCTTCTTCTTTACATCGGGCTGGCCGATGAAGTTAGATCGTGTCCCATCCATGATCATCAAAGTGTCTCTTTCCCTTGCCGCCATTGCCATGGCCGCCCTCTTTCACAACTTCTAGTTTGCGCGCCCGTCTCAGAATCAGCAAGATGAAACGGTGCAGCGGGACCACCTGGCCACGCCACCCGCACCATGGCCTGAGGGCATGCCGAAAGGTGTTCCTGGAGTGACCTGTCAGGGTCGGGGAGAAATTTGGTGGGCCAGGGTGAGGGTGTCATATCACGACGGACCCGGCGCCTCCGTGTATGGCTGGCCAGCCAAAGGTGGCATATACGGTACGTTAAATGTGAAGACCCAAGTAAGCGGAAGGTTAATTGAAATGGGCTGACCAACATTCTTCAAAATTCCTAGTCCATACAGCTTCGGCGGTGGAGATTGAGTTTCTCGGTTTCGATAGATTTAAACCCGTTCCACACCCTTCTCCAAACAATCCTTCCGCTGCCCCTGATGAAGAGGCACACTGCAACAAGAGTATGACGCAGTTGGGTATAGCCCCTAAAACTAGTGCTAACCTCTCTTTTTAGTGCGCCAACTCGGGGCCGTCTGGTGGAAGAGCGAATACGCCTGGTCTGAGGATAAAAGAACCGTACACTACAGACCTCCGCCGGATCCCCCCAATAGTTTCATTGTAACGGGCTGGCCGACTACCGGCGGGGTCTGGGTTCTTAGCACAACCAAAGGTGAAGCTGTCGAAAAAAGGGTAGGTGTGTTGTTCCATGCTTACAGTGTGGACGAGCGCTGCAGGGTGATTGAGCAGTTGGGCGGCGTCTTTTACAGCAACCCAAAAGACTGTGCAGATTTAGACTTGGCGGAGGGTAGCTACTGATATGGGCATGCAATTCCATTTAAGATTGTCCCATCTTCGACAAGTTTTAAATTAAAACTTTTAATCACCAAAACATGGACGCCCGCGAAGAACCCGTGAGATCTAAAACCCTAGCAACCGGGATTATTAGAGCACGGAGGACAACGCCCAGAAATCGTCCTCACGTCCTCCCATGCATTTGTCCTTCCTTGGCGTTGTTGGATAAATATGGCGGGCCGAGTCTTCAGCCCTATGGCTCGGATCCATGCGGCAGAAAGGGGTAACTCTCGAGGCCGGATTTGAGCTTGATCCCGAAACGACCTCATGCACGAAACAGCCAGGTACCACCGTCTGTCCGCCGGAGGACAGGATCGGCATTGGTTGCATCAAGCGCGCCCACGTCGACACCCCGAGGCCACACCGGCTTCCATCGGTCGCCAGTCCACAATTGACCTCGAACAGAGAATCTCTTTCGTGGAAGGGGTGTCGAGTTGCTGCGTTCGTGGACATCGTTTGGCGAGGTGCCTCACGAATAACGCTCTTCTCCTCCGTCTCACAAAATATGCCCTCATTTGAGATGGACCAATCAATGCGTGGCGGCCATTTCGGCATGCCCGTCACTCCCCCAGCTGAGCCCAAGCCGATGGGCTTATGCCAGCAACCCAGTCACAGAAGCGGGGTTTTGTGGGCGGACCCGACGATCTGGGGGCTATGTATCCAAAGAAAGCTGTCCGGACTAATCACCCCTGCCAATGGAATGTGTTGTGGTGAAGTGGAACTTGCCCTCATGCTTGCACCGGCGGTGAAGTCTTCTTGCCTCACACGTCGCGTTCAGCTGAGATTTATTCGATTGGTCCCTTGCCACAGACATGAGACCACTCGGGTCAAAAAAGAAGCTGTGCTTATTGCCGATCGACAGGAAGGAAATGCCAACTCACGTACGCAGGAGATATAAAGTGTAGGGCTTTTTTCCAAACTTATACATGTCATCATCTTCTTTCCAAACAATAACTCATCCAACAAAACACTCAACACAGCCAACATGAAGCTATCCGCGGGTCTTTCGTTTCTTTCCCTCGCCGCCCTGACCAGTGCCCAGGCGCCTATGAGCGTCTATGGGTGCTCCGGCCGCGATTTCACGGGAACCTGCCAAACCTTCACCTGCCCGTACCAGGACTGCTGCCAGCTGCCCAGCTTCTTCCAGACCAGCCTCGTCTCCGTCAGATCGACCGGCTCGTACTCGTTCCGCCTCTTCACAGACGCCGGGTGCGCGTACCACTGCAACGACAATGACAACGGCAGCCGGCTAGTCGACGCCGAAGGTTGGGGCAACATTGGCGCGGCCGCTTATGCGTGCGTCGACGGTCCTTACTAGGTTTCCGCAAACCACTTGGCAGTTGGAAGAAATGTGGGTTGGTACAGTAAGTGACAACTACATGCCGGTTAGGACAACCACTAAAGCTTCACTAGCAACACTATAATGAGAGCAGTCATGGCCATTATTTGGGGGATGGAATCAAGCGATGTCAACCGATACAAGTCTGAGGGGGCGGTGTTATGCGTCATGTAATCCAAGAGTGTGCAACTGCCCACCTTTGATTCAGTCATTATTGCGTAACTAGCTAGGCAATGTCCAGTCTTCGAGTTCCACACCACCAATGCAAGTTGCGTGCCGCAGACGTTCTGATGTCAATGTTGCATCTGGGCGGAGATGGATGCAACCTTCGGCACAGGATGCCCCAAGACCTCAATGTCGATCCTTCGACGACCGGGTCACTGGTAACTGGGAGCTCCAAGCCCTCGGTAACGCAAGGGCAAAAACCCGGGAGAATGAAACGGGAAAGGACTCACCTCCTACTGGTCAGATAACCATGTATACCCCTCGGTACCGAGGCTGTCCTGGGGAGCTCCCACGTTTGGTGTGTAATCGTAGTTGAGGTGTTTGTTTTCCTCTTCCGAGGATGGTGCACGTCCTTCTAGCTGATGGGGTGGTTAAAAACAAATCATCCGTGATATATTTTGGTGGTTACTTGGAGAATGTTTACTTGAAGGGTTAAGCTAAGAATCCGTTGAGGTGACATCTGGGCGCGAATGACAACATCGTGTGTGAACATTGCAACATAGGTAATAGATGTACGTAGGTAACTTCCGGATGCTAGTAGAACATAGAGGTAACTAGCCGGCAAACAATAAACCAATCCAGCTACACCAACCACCATCCCTCCTCCCAACCCTCCCCAACCATTGATTCACCCCCTCACATCACCCCAATCCAAACCCGCCACAACCCCATTCCCCTCCCACCACGCCACATCCTCCACCACCCCATCCTCACCCACTGCCCAAACCCCATCCTCCACCAAACCCGCCCAATGCCCCAACACCTCCGCCAACCGCGGCAACCTCTCCGGCCCCCACGGACACGCCCCCCGAAACCCACCCACATCCGTCCGCCCCGACCCACACACCAGCTGCACCAAGTCCCCGTCGCGCTCGTCCGCCCACGCCGTATACAGCCCCGCGCGCCGGTCAACAGCGAGGTTCCCGAACCCGTGCGGCGCATCGAACGCGTTGATGCCGTCGTCGGGGTGCTGACTCACGTCGGTTGGAACACGCAGTGGGAGGTGTACAAGCGTGGTTCCGGCATGGTTTGGGGCGGTGGTGGTGGTGACGGCCACGCTGGGGAGGAGGAGCGTGACCCAGTCCGAGCCTTCGGAGGAGGTTTCTAGCGTGCGGCGGAAGGCGGTGGTTGGTTCGGTGGCGTAGGCGGAGTGGAGGCTGGCTTCGGTGAAGGTGGAGATGCCGGGGGCGATAAATGTCCAGCTGCGTGGTCGGCGTGCGTGCGTGAGGAAGTGTTGGGCGAAGGTGCTGATCTGGAGGTTCTGAAGGGCTTCGCGGGGCAGGGAGTCTGCTGTGGCGTTGTTTGCTGGTGGTATCATGGACGCGGGCAGTCTGGATTCGATGGCGTGTAGGAGGCGCTCCCACGCGGAGATGGCTTCCGCGACTTGCAGGTTGGGAAGAGGGGTTGTGGTGGCGACGTTGGAAGGGACAGGGACCCATTTTTGGATCTTGAGCCCGTCTTGTGAGGTGGTATCGTGGATATAGCGGCCAGATCCCCAGCGGGATAATTCCTGTTTGAGGAGGTAATCAAGCGGGAGCCATTCCTCTGAGGGAGTGAGGTTTCCGGGACCTGGGGGGTTGCTGAGCCAGATGCCACGGAGGTCATAAATGTCTACGAATAGACCGCCGTCTTCGGGTGATTGGGAGACAAGACGTTGAGGGTAAAGGAGGATAAATGGGGAGCCCGCCTCGTTGACTTCGTTGCTGTAAAGGGCGGGAAAGAACCATTGTGGCGTGGGTTGGTAGAGGAGGGGCGTTAAGGGTGGCCCATTACCCATTGGCGGCGGGATGGTGGTTTCAAGCTGTGTGAGGAGGCTAAAGATTGGAGAAGCAGGGTCTAGAGAAGGGGGAATGTATGGGTTGTAGGTATCAAAAGGGCCATTGGATCGGAAGGATTCGTAGCGCTGGAGGAGGTCGGTTGAAGTTTTGGGTGGCGGGGCGTTTGGGAGGAATGACTTGGCGAGCAGTGTGTTGTGGAGGTTGGCGCAGAGGGCGATGTACTCGTCAAGAGACAGGGGGGGTTGCTCAGATTCGGCGGAGGCCGACATGATGGGTTACTTATGCTGGTGATTGTTAGATGGTCCAGTTAGGTGACTTCAGGACAAGGAAACGAAGGCTACCTGCGTGCTTTTTTGGACCATCGTTTCAGCAGAAAGAGGGGCGCCAAGGCTTCACAATCTCCAAGAAATCAACCGTGGTTACTGGTTAGACAGCACAGAAGATGAACGAGAATATAATTGTACGGGGTCCTCCAAATAACTAACCTATAATCCAACAACCTTTTTCTGACCTACAAGAACCGCAGCCAACAGCCGCAGGACCTACAACCGCCTTATCATACACGGCCCCTTTCATTTCAAAAGTCAACCCCGTCCCCTCTCCGCCGCGACCTCCTCCGCACCCACCGGCACCCTCTCCTCCGCCCCCGGCCCGCTGACCTTCACCCCCCGCTCCACCCCCTCAGGCAAATCCGCACCCAGCGCCCTCGCCCGCCCCTCCACCGTCTCCTCCTCCCTATTATCCGTCGCACCGACCCCCTCCAGCCCACTCCTCTCCTTCTTACGCTTGCCCACGGCATGCGCCCCGTGCAGCTCCCGGCCCGTCTGCCCCTCCATGGGCCGCGCAAACGTCGACGCGCTGTGCACGTCGCCGCTGGTGGCGCCCGGCATGTCGAGGGCGCCTGTGTGGCCGGCGGCTTCGGGGCGAAATGCGTCCGGGTTGAGCGCCTGGCCGGGGGTGGTGTGCAGCGGGTTGGGCTGGTAGGTGTCCTTGGAGGGGGCGGTGCCGGGGGTGTGGGTTTCGGCGCGGAATTCGGGGATCGCTTCGTTGCCGGTTTGTTGGCCGAGTTGGTGCTGTGTGGGTGTTGCGTGTGTGAGTGAGTGGAAGCTGGTGGGTGTGCTGGGTATGTGGGTATGGATGGGGGGTGGGATAGGGTGGCTTACACCAGAGGTTGTCATCGGTTTGGATGGAGGGACGCGGGAGTGGAATTCTGGATGAGGCTTAGTATCTGCCATTCTTGGTTGGAAACACGCGTTGTTGCGAGGAAGTGTACATACCGCCCTGGTTGGTGACGGAATCTGGGTTGGCAGACATGTTGAGCAGATTTGGTATTGCGATGATGGTAGATAGGAAAGGACACGTAAAGTGATATTGAATGAGCGTATCATTTAAAGCTAATATCCTCGAGCTTCTCCATCGCTCCCTGTTATCAAGGGTAGCGAAATGTTGATGATGTCAACTTAACCCCCTCACATCCCGCCTCTTCGTTGCGTCATTCATTGTCAGATTATATGCGAGGTGTACCAATGGGCCACTTCTTCTCCCATGATTGACAAATCGTAGGACCGGGAAGATTGGAGCAAACTCCAGGCCAAAATCGCCCCCAAAGCACGCCTCCACCTCTCCGATTCATGAGGCGACAGCATGTCTCATCCGCGTCATGATGTAACGTTCCCGCTGGGCAATGCTGATCTGTCAGCCCCAAACAGTTGTTTGCATAATAGCAGGGCATACATAATACGAGGACCTAGGTTAGCCGTTGCAGGAATCCGGTACAGGGAGGCACCAAGGCAGCGTTATGCTAACCGAGGGGACGCTTCATGATTGCCTATATCCCTTTCCTTGGCTGCGATGCCATTTATCATACTACCAACGAAGGGAGTGCCGGCCAATGGTGCTCGCAGACATTAGAATTCACGTACGCAACTGGGAGTCTCTGACTCCAGTCGCCTTTTTTGTTGCCTTGGATGGTGCAAGAACGCCCGGTCGTGCAAAAGGTAGCCCCTGGTGCGTTTTCTCTGGAGTCGCTTGACTCCTCGAATCCATTCCCGTATCCCTCCGCATGGGCCCAGCCCTTCATCTCCGTGTCTGCCTGGTCGTCAATTTTGAGTTTAAATCTTCGCGGGTTTTAAACTTTGGTTTCAAACAGCAGCTAGCGCGGGAGAAGCCGCCGGCCATATTCGCGGCCACGCTTGGCGCTTACGCGGTTATTTATGGACGAGGGCTCCTCCACCAACCACACTTTAACAACGAACCGGACCAAAACGAAACGCCGACGGATTGCATGAGGAGTCCAGAGGACGGTCTGGTACCAGTATTAGGGCTGCGTAGCCACGTCTTATAAAGGGTTTGTCTCGTTCAAGCCACAGCGTCAGGTGTGGCAGGCTTGGGCATTTTAGACGCCAACGGAGATCACGAGACATTAGTAGTCTCGTACGAACATCTCCTGTCATCATGGCAAAGTAAGGCTGCAGCCTCTTGGTATTATGACGTTAATATTCGTCTGTACAAAGTCAAAACCGTCAAGTGCCCCCCTTCACCCTGTAGACACCCCTTGATTCAACCAGCCCGTCGGTAAGGCCTTACCACACCCTCCCACGGATCCTTCAGGGCCTGGGCCACCTTCCATCCATTTGGTTCGTTGTTCTGTAGTAAGGCTAGCCCTGGAAAAGCCGTACCCAGGACCTCCCGATGCAGGGTTCTTGTGTGCGACACCAGAATTGTTTCGAAGGTCTAGCCCTGGGAGCCTTGTAAGTACCTAGTGCCTGAACGTCGGGTTTGCAGCTTTCAAAGGATAAATGAAATGCAGGCTGCCCTTAACCATGCTTCCGGTGTTCAGTCTCCAGTCCTTTCGTGTTTTTCTTTTGGCGTTGTTCAGTTTTAGTATCTTTTCCTTGTCGTTTCTCCTTCTGTCTGGTCATCATGCATTCTCTTCTTACCTTTGCGTTCGCCCGCCCACTCCTTTTGTTTTGTGTTCCGTCTGCCCTCGGTGCTGTCTTGGTACGTTCTCCGTACCACGACTTACAGCTCTACCCACCCCCCATCCTAGCTCGACAGACCAATCCTCCGCAAACGATACCCGTCCCTCCCGCAACTTGGCAGTTGCCCCTACCGCCCCAACGTCTCCCTCCAAAACGGCACTTCTGTTCCACCACAGCCCCCATCACCAACACCACAACCCTCTGCCCCACCACCCCCGAATGGAGCGGCGAATGCCCCTTCCTCTCCCGTGTGCTTCCTCCCCGCCGGCCTCAAAAAACCCCCCCCCAACCACCACCCAGCACCAATCCCACCAACCCCTCCCGCTGCTCCTCCCCCGTCAGCATCCTGACCATCCTCGCAGTCGTCACCATCATCGAGGCGGCCTCCACCCTCATGCAAGGGCACGACCGCGTACGCCGCCAACTCTTCCGCCTGCGCGGGACCCTCTTCCGCCTGCCCGACAAACAATCCCCTTACTGGACGCCCGCCTCAGGCACCGTCTCCGCCTTCACCACCTTCCTCTTCCAGGTGCTCCTGCCCGCCATCATCAGCTGGTCGGAAAACAAGAGCCAGTTCTCGTTTGGCAGCCTGCTGGGGATGTGGACGATGCGGCCGCGGGGCACGTTTGTGATGTTTGCGCTGATGCGGCTGATTGGGTGGGGCGGGTTTAAGTTTACGGCGTTTGATGCGATTGTGACGGAGAGTATTCTGGATGTAATTGCGTTGCCGTTTGCGGTTACGGCGGTGCTGACGGATCATGGGCCCGATGGGGAGGGGGCGAAGGGGTGCGGGATTCAGGGGTACGAGGCGGTAGAGGATGATGTGCGCGTGGGGATGGTGTATGCGAGTTTTGGGTGGGGGACCGCTGCCGGTGTGATCTCGTCGCTTGTGCTGGCGCAGTTCGTTATTATGAGTTTTAATAAACGGTTGACGCAGGAGGAGATGGCTGAGAAGGACGAGGAGGAGGCGTGGCAGGGGAGGTGGAGTTGGTGGGGGAGGGTGCTGTTGCGGGAGAAGCGGCAGCTGGTGCCCATTATTGTGGCCATGGGGACCATGATTTCGAATTGGGTGCTCTGGGGGCGTAAGATCTACCTTTAGAGAAGGTTGGGCCGAGAGCCGATTTGCTAACAGATGAACAGACTTTATTTCGTTACAAGGAACCGGTTACTGCGAAGCGCAGGACGGCGTGGCCACTCTGGTTCTCGGTATCATACATCAGCTCTTCATTCCCCTGTTGCGGGCGTGCTTCGGGGCGGATCCAGATTTGGTCGAGTACAAGTAGGCGGGAGAGAAGAATGCCACGAACAGACCGGATAAGGCACCCGGCTGGCTAAGGTAGCTAGGGAACTGTAGGTTGGGCGCGCGGGGGCACATAACGATATTCCGCTGCCGACTCCGCCGGAGCCGGAGGTTATTAGTGAATTATTACCTAGCTCTTGTACGACCTGGCCACGTAAACCCATCTTTCTGCCGACCGGCGACAACCACATTGCATAACGCCATTCCCCTTCCAGCTCGCTTGAGAATCCGCTGTGTAGAATCCAAAATGCTGAACAGATCCAAAAAAACCACGCTCCTCGTCCCCGTCGCCTTATCTCCCCCTCCATTATGTACGTTCCATATCACCCATTTCGAGCAGCCTCCGAGATGATCCCCTCCTTCACCGCATGCCACACGGCGGGGTAGACGGCCCGCGCATAGTTACTCCTCCGCCCAAGCACATAGTCCAGCGAGATCTCACCCTTCCAATCATCATCAAATGCATGCAACACATACGTCGCCGAGAAATCCATCTCCCAACTCTCCAACCTCCCACCAGGCAACTCCCGCTCCCTCAACCACGCCAACGCATCCTTGCACGTATTCCCCAGCTCCTTCGGCAAGCTCGCATCACCAGCACG